GCGTCGTCAGGCGGCCATCTTACCGCGGGGTAGCGCGTCGTCAGGCGGCCATCTTACCGCGGGGTAGCGCGTCGTCAAGCGGCCACCTTACTACAGGGTAGCGCGTCGTCAGGCGGCCATCTTACTGCGGGGTAGCGCGTCGTCAGGCGGCCATCTTACCGAGGGTAGCGCGTCGTCAGACGGCCATCATGCCTAGGGGTAGCCCGTCGTTAGGCGGCCATCTTACTGCGGGGTAGCGCGTCGTCAGGCGGCCATCTTACTGCGGGGTAGCGCGTCGTCAGGCGGCCATCTTACTGCGGGGTAGCGCGTCGTCAAGCGGCCACCTTACTACGGGGTAGCGCATCGTCAGGCGGCCATCTTACTGCGGGGTAGCGCGTCGTCAGGCGGCCATTTTACCGTGGGTAGCGCGTCGTCAGGCGGCCATCATGCCTAGGGGTAACCCGTCGTCAGGCGGCCATCTTACCGCGGGGTAGCGCGTCGTCAGGCGGCCATCTTACTGCGGGGAAGCGCGTCGTCAGGCGGCCATCTTACTGCGGGGTATCGCGTCGTCAGGCGGCCATCTTACTGCGGGGTAGTGCGTCGTCAGGCGGCCATCTTACCGCGGGGTAGCGCGTCGTCAGACGGCCATCTTACCGCGGGGTAGCGCATCGTCAGGCGGCCATCTTACTGCGGGGTAGCGCGTCGTCAGGCGGCCATTTTACCGTGGGTAGCGCGTCGTCAGGCGGCCATCATGCCTAGGGGTAACCCGTCGTCAGGCGGCCATCTTACCGCGGGGTAGCGCGTCGTCAGGCGGCCATCTTACTGCGGGTAGCGCGTCGTCAGGCGGCCATATTACTGCGGGGTAGCGCGTCGTCAGGCGGCCATCTTACTGCGGGGAAGCGCGTCGTCAGGCGGCCATCTTACTGCGGGGCAGCGCGTCGTCAGGCGGCCATATTACTGCAGGCAAGCGCGTCGTCAGGCGGCCATCTTACTGCGGGCGAGCGCGTCGTCAGGCGGCCATCTAACTGCGGGGTAGCGCGTCGTCAGGCGGCCATCTTACTGCGGGGTAGCGCGTCGTCAGGCGGCCATCTTACTGCGGGGTAGCGCGTCGTCAGGCGGCCATCTTACTGCGGGGTAGCGCATCGTCAGGCGGCCATCTTACTGCATGCAAGCGCGTCGTCAGGCGGCCATCTTACTGCGGGGTAGCGCGTCGTCAGGCGGCCATCTTACTGCGGGTAGCACGTCGTCAGGCGGCCATCATGCCTAGGGGTAGCCCGTCGTCAGGCGGCCATCTTACTGCGGGGTAGCGCGTCGTCAGGCGTCCATCATGCCTAGGGGTAGCCCGTCGATAGGCGGCCATCTTACTGCGGGGTAGCGCGTCGTCAGGCGGCCATCTTACTGCGGGGTATCGCGTCGTCAGGTGGCCATCTTACTGCGGGGTAGCGCGTCGTCAGGCGGCCATCTTACTGCGGGGTAGCGCGTCGTCAGGCGACCATCATGCCTAGGGGTAGCCCGTCGATAGGCGGCCATCTTACTGCGGGTAGCGCGTCGTCAGGCGGCCATCTTACTGCGGGTTAGCGCGTCGTCAGGCGGCCATTTTACTGCAGGCAAGCGCGTCGTCAGGCGGCCATCTTACTGCGGGATAGCGCGTCGTCAGGCGGCCATCTTACAGCGGGGTAGCACGTCGTCAGGCGGCCATCTTACCGCGGGGTAGCGCGTCGTCAGGCGGCCATCTTACCGCGGGGTAGCGCGTCGTCAGGCGGCCATCTTACCGCGGGGTAGCGCGTCGTCAAGCGGTCACCTTACTACAGGGTAGCGCGTCGTCAGGCGGCCATCTTACTGCGGGGTAGCGCGTCGTCAGGCGGCCATCTTACCGAGGGTAGCGCGTCGTCAGACGGCCATCATGCCTAGGGGTAGCCCGTCGTTAGGCGGCCATCTTACTGCGGGGTAGCGCGTCGTCAGGCGGCCATCTTACTGCGGGGTAGCGCGTCGTCAGGCGGCCATCTTACTGCGGGGTAGCGCGTCGTCAAGCGGCCACCTTACTACGGGGTAGCGCATCGTCAGGCGGCCATCTTACTGCGGGGTAGCGCGTCGTCAGGCGGCCATTTTACCGTGGGTAGCGCGTCGTCAGGCGGCCATCATGCCTAGGGGTAACCCGTCGTTAGGCGGCCATCTTACCGCGGGGTAGCGCGTCGTCAGGCGGCCATCTTACTGCGGGGAAGCGCGTCGTCAGGCGGCCATCTTACTGCGGGGTATCGCGTCGTCAGGCGGCCATCTTACTGCGGGGTAGTGCGTCGTCAGGCGGCCATCTTACCGCGGGGTAGCGCGTCGTCAGACGGCCATCTTACCGCGGGGTAGCGCGTCGTTAAGCGGCCACCTTACTACAGGGTAGCGCGTCGTCAGGCGGCCATCTTCCTGCGGGGTAGCGCGTCGTCAGGCGGCCATCTTACTGCGGGGTAGCGCGTCGTCAGGCGGCCATCTTACCGTGGGTAGCGCGTCGTCAGGCGGCCATCATGCCTAGGGGTAGCCCGTCGTCAGGCGGCCATCTTACTGCGGGGTAGCGCGTCGTCAGGTGGCCATCTTACTGCGGGGTAGCGCGTCGTCAAGCGGCCACCTTACTACGGGGCAGAGGTGGGACAAAGTCATTGTTATGCAAGTCCAAGTCGAGTCTGAAGTCATCAAATTCATGACTCGAGTCTGACTCTAGTCCAAGTCACATGACTCGAGTCCACACCTCTGCTACGGGGTAGCGCGTCGTCAGGCGGCCATCTTACTGCGGGGTAGCGCGTCGTCAGGCGGCCATTTTACCGTGGGTAGCGCGTCGTCAGGCGGTCATCATGCCTAGGGGTAGCCCGTCGTCAGGCGGCCATCTTACCGCGGGGTAGCGCGTCGTCAGGCGGCCATCTTACTGCGGGGAAGCGCGTCGTCAGGCGGCCATCTTACTGCGGGGCATCGCGTCGTCAGGCGGCCATCTTACTGCGGGGTAGCGCGTCGTCAGGCGGCCATCTTACCGCGGGGTAGCGCGTCGTCAGGCGGCCATCTTACTGCGGGGTAGCGCGTCGTCAGGCGGCCATCTTATCTTACTGCGGGGTAGCGCGTCGTCAGGCGGCCATCTTACCGCGGGGCAGCGCGTCGTCAGGCGGCCATCTTACTGCGGGGTAGCGCGTCGTCAGGCGTCCATCATGCCTAGGGTTAGCCCGTCGTCAGGCGGCAATCTTACAGCGGGGTATCGCGTCGTCAGGCGGCCATCTTACAGCGGCTATCGCGTCGTCAGGCGGCCATCTTACAGCGGCTATCGCGTCGTCAGGCGGCCATCTTACTGCGGGGTAGCGCGTCGTCAGGCGGCCATCTTACTGCGGGGTAGCTCGTCGTCAGGCGTCCATCATGCCTAGGGGTAGCCCGTCGATAGGCGGCCATCTTACTGCGGGGTAGCGCGTCGTCAGGCGGCCATCTTACTGCGGGGTAGCGCGTCGTCAGGCGGCCATCTTACCGCGGGGTAGCGCGTCGTCAGGCGGCCATCTTACTGGGGGTAGCGCATCGTTAGGCGGCCATTTTACTGCGGGGTAGCGCGTCGTCAGGCAGGCCATCTTACTGCGGGATAGCGCGTCGTCAGGCGGCCATCTTACTGCGGGTAGCTCGTCGTCAGGCGGCCATCTTACTGCGGAGTATCGCGTCGTCAGGCGGCCATTTTACTGCGGGGTAGCGCGTAGTTCTTGAACAAAATTCAAGAACTACTCAACGATGGCAGCAATATCAGAGTATTGAGAGCTGAATAAAGGTGTCAGTTTTGTACCAGTTTAAAAGGGTAAAAACCTACTACTATATTTTGCCACTGGTAAAAGAGATCTCATAGTGTAAATGCTTACCCCGAGCTCTTAATACTTTGATATTGCACTGTGTTTGAGTTCTACGCCTTCTGGTGTCATCTGGTCCAACACCAATGGGGACTAGGCTCTAAAGAAAGCCGTCTCGGGTGTGGACTAATCAACTTCAAGGACAGTGCATATTATTATCATTATCAGTTGCTTCTTTTTGTTTGCTTTTTTTACTACTTGTGTTGTGGTTATTGCACACATGATGCCTTGAATAAAGGTGTCAGTTTTGTACCAGTTTAAAAGGGTAAAAACCTACTACTATATTTTGCCACTGGTAAAAGAGATCTCATAGTGGAAAGTCCAATACTGTATTGGGATGCAAAAGTTCCACAAGGTTCTCCGATTTATCCATTTGCACTTCCCCTTTCGGTCTTCATTCTATTTTTCCTAGTATGTTTAGTTACGTTTTCTATCGTTTGGTAGGTTCATCTATCTTTGCACATACTGGTGGTGAAATCTTTTTTTACTTCTCATTATACTCAACGCACTCATTGCAAAATTGGTTATAGTGGCGACACAAGTTTCAGAACCAAATGACCATCATGCAACAGATTAAGCCTTGGTTGTGCTTGGATAAATGCGGTTGATGGGTCACCATCCACGCCAAGTTGGAATACACCATTATCTAGAGATGCTCTATGGAAAGTAGCAAGAGGGCAGTGCGGTAATATTGGAAGGTGTTGCATTGCATGCACCCCACCGGCACGAACCGGCATTGATCAGCGTGGTTTGGAATGATTAAACCCCCACGTCAGTCTAAGTCCCAGCACGCCAAGTGTTCCGTCATCCATCGTTTGTTGATACAAGTACATGGTTCGATTGTATTATGCATTAAACAGGTATATTTTGCCTAGAATTGCAGGAGCCGTCGCTCAATATTGTTTCAGGAAGGCCTTTCATTTGGGATTGAGCGATTAGTCTAAGGAGCATTACTTTTCCACACGAATTGTCATTGGAATAGACTTCAAATCATGCACGTACTTTCAATGGTCTTAAAGGGGTTGCAATGGCCTCCAGTATTGTTTATGCATTGCTGAATACTTAAGCTTAATAGATCCAAGTAAACCATTTACAGTCGTTAATAAGAAAACATCGCACCTGTACAAACACAAATACTATCAGTGTACAATGAATACCAAACAGACGTTGATGCAATGAGTGGTTTAATGCACAACTACAAGGAAGCAAATACTTACAAGTGAAGCAGAAATCTGTAAGGCAAAACTACAAAGACTACAAAATATTTTTAGATGCGGACCAATACATTTACAAAACGGCCCTTTCAAAAATTACAAACTGCATTGGTCCGGAAACTTTATTTTTTTTACAAACACTAAAGGCAATTTCTGTTGCCACAATCCTTTGTTAGACCACAGGATCGTTTAATGTACAGGCCAATCTTGTGAAGACATCTTCGAGAGTCACTCTTAGAGCTTTTTTTTTCTTTACAGCACATGTACCAAACAAGCACTTTTCAACCAAAGCATGCATTAACTATACACTATATCTCAACGCTTCACATGTCCACTTGTGGCCATTTACATTCGTAATTCATACAAACCTTGCGTTTCTATCAGCCCTTAACCAACTTGTCAATGTTAGAGGGAAATTTCAAAGGGAAAGAATGGCATATTTACACAAATTGGCAGATATGGGCATTTCGCCATATTGCCATGTGCATTGCTTTTAAGCATTAAAGAAACAAAATACAAAATCAACGCATAGTAATCTGTTGCTTATGGATGGGTTTGAATTTAGTATTTTTTGTACATGGTGCTGGTGAGTTCCAACCTTTAGAAGTTTACTTTTACATCAGCACACCACCAGCGACACGACTGATGTGGGCAAGGCTGTGACCTTAATACTTTCAAGACTGAGCTGCAGGTGTCCATCACACCGGACTTGAAATCTTAACCACCATCTCATAATTATGCCACCATCTCCATCACACAGCAACAACATTAACAGCTGTGGTTTAAAACGAAAAAACATTTTATACAACAGGCTACAAAGTTTGGCCTTACCCACCCCCCAATGATGTCTAGAGGCAATACACAAAATGGGACTTTGAAGAAAAATATAAAATGGCACTACTGTTTTATCTGTCATAACCACAACGGTTCACATATTACTATGCAAGTGATGTGCAAGCTTGTTATAGAGTAGTACAAACCAGTCTGAAAGGCTAGGGGCTAAACACAAGGCCGGCCTGTTATCCCCTTGGGCGTGACAATCTGCAGCAAGGATGGTTAGCTTGTCGCTGTCCCCTCCATCACCTGCTGAGTCTGCTTCTGGCCCATGCAGCACTGCGCCACTGATTGAAAAAGCCTGCAACAAAGTCATCTTAAAATGTAAAACTTACACAAAGCATAAACGGCTTAACCAAAATACACAATTACACGAATCCTGAGTTATACATAAGGGATCAACCGTTTCTGAAAAACGCCACAACTTGAAATTACTTCAAGCAAACTCGAAAATCCCAAAGGCAATGCAAAAATCAGGGGTTGCATTCATAGCTGGCATTTCTGGAAAGCGACAAAACGTCATGAAGTGTAAAAATGCATACGACATGCATTTTAATAATTCAATTAGATAAAACTTTCCAGAGATGATGCAAGAGCTTGCCAATTGAGGCATCTAGGGGTAAACAGTGAGAGGGTTAGGCAAACAAAGGGGCCAGGATGAACCATCTCATCCGACACTGAAACTGGAATGTTGAAAAGGAAGCTGGCTCTTCTGTGCTCTTGTCTGGACTTTTTGGCTTTATTGCAAAACGCCCAAAGACAGCTGGATAGCATTCTTCATCTTCTGGTATAGCTCCTTGTAGCAGTGAATGCCACCTGGTTAATGTGCCGTTACCTCGAGAGCTGCATGGTCAAGTTGGAACCTCTGAAAATGTCCATTGCCGCTTCCAAACAAATAAAAGCCTTTGACATTATTTTTAGTTGATATTTGCGGTAGTTGTATCATTTAAATCCACCTCTTCCTCAGGTCGTTGTTCCTGCTGTATCAGATCCTCATTTAACAGGTCCTCACCACGACTCAAGCAACATAACCACATCAATTCTTCCACATTGCAGAGTCCAGCTTCTTTGACCAGTTCCAGAAGATTGTTGAATTTCTTACTCCACAAATGCCTTGGAGATGGTGACACATTTAGGGCCATATTTTTTCACTACACGATTCATATTTTTCCAACAGCAAAGTGCTTACTTCTTTACCAGCAGTCAGTTGTCTCTGATGAGCTGGGAGGTGCAGCATAGGCAAGCCTTAAACATCACTGTAACTCTGATCCAGTCTGCAGCAAGTAGTAAGGCCCACTCAGCTAAAAAGTGCTTTTTCATAAGAGGCCTGACCACAAATGATAGCTCAACGAAGTGGCTTATGTAGAAATGTATAAAAGCCAATTATTGTAAATGCATGTTTCTGAAATGTAAAAAAAGGCAAAAATCGGGGGACCCGGAGAATATCCATACAACCACGGGGAGAAAACGGAAACTCCAAATATACAGGCGTCAGGGTCGGGATTGAACCTACAACTTCATAACCAGGCAAGTTAGTTAACGTCGCCACTGGTTAAGTCGTCAAGGTTGACTGGATTACCTGGGACATTAGTTAGAAGCAATGCCTTATGTGCTAGATTGTTTCGTAACAAGATTCCTTCACAGCTGAGCAGAAGTGCAAATTAAACAATTCTTAAACTGCCACCATTGTGACTTGAGGCGTTTTATTTTATTTCAATCGCCATATCCCTGTTAGCTCTTGGTGTATTGGTGGTAAATGAGCACGAGTTGAGCTTTAAAATCTCTGAAGCGTTCCCACCTAGCAGTAGTGATGCGATCTTGGGCTTGCGCTTTGAAACCTGGAGGAGTCTTCTCTTTTGTAAAAATTAACATGTTTGCTGGCAATCACTTCCAGTATAGCCCCGTCTCATCCACACAGAACACTTTCTTGGGTGTGTACAAACCTTTTGAATATCTTGTCAAAATATCAGGATCATTTCTTGCTGCTACACTGTCAGCAGTTGCATCTTCACGTGACACTGCATATTATGCAGACCACTCCAGCTCAACGTGTAAACCAAGTCTTCATTTCTCAACTCACAATAATTTTATTGGTCTTCAAAAACAAGAGTAGCTTTTTAACTTGGCAAATGGCACAAGATTTAGCAATTTTTTTAACTAACGCATATGCGAAACATTGCACTTATTTTGGAAAGATTGTCCAATTAAAATCGGCAAAGTATATGGAAAACAATACATAATGTAGCAATTCATAGCAGGGGAATCATGTAGTAAACCACCACTACTCACTTTTGAATTTCTGGGGCACAGTGCACAAACTCGTGGTCCCAAAATTTGAAGGAGGGATTCTTGATGAGCTCGATGAAGGTGATGAGCAGGCCCCATGGATGCGGACGATTCACAATCAGTCGCTCCAGCAGTACCCTACAGCATAAAATCAGTCACAATAAAAAAATGGGGATTATAAGAACATCAAGCAACAGAAATGTATACCGATTTAATGTCGTGGCTTAATGACAGCAGTATCCGAGTTTGTTGGAGATTTCTCACCGAGTAATTTGCTCCTGAATTGCTTCAGTGTTGGCTTCGGCAAACAAGTAGAGCATGGTGCAGCTGAAATAGTGCGTATGGCTGTTGGGATAGCGTAGCTGGTTGGCTATGGCATTCAGGAACAGGTACCGACCTGCACACAAAGAAAGTTGTCATGAATACAATATTTAAATAACCTTTGCATGCTTATATAATCGCAAATTATAACATGTCATGTGCACAATCTTACAATGGATTATATGCAGCTCACACCAAATGCCATGCTGCATTGCAAATCACTGGAAATCCAAACATTTCTATTAAGTTTTAAAAGGTTTTTGAACTTTTGCCTTATATTTTATATATAGCTGCATAAAACCCTTTTGCTTCTGCCAAAGCTAACGGAAATCATTTAAATAAAGCCCATCAGTGGCTCAGGCATTCACCTTCGGTGTCAAGGTCCACAGCCAAGTTCTGGAAGATGTCCATGTGGGCAGAGTGGGTGATCGTGCCCATGGACGGCGAGCTGCCTTTGCTGTTGATGTGCGCAATGGCCTGAGTGCCAACGTAGAGCACCAATGCGTTGATGAGCGGTATGTTGTACCGCATGCCTGGCTCATTAGAAACCTGTTTCACACGCCAAAAGGACAACCACAATTTGTAAAAACCACACAGCAAGTAAACTACGTGACCTTGTCCATATGGAGCTTGGATCACTGCTGTAGATGTGATCTCAAAAATGTACACATGGTAAAGAACAATGAGGTGTGGTTGGAACCGGACCTGCAAGTTGCCCCGTAGCTCTGAGAGGAACGTGACCGGTGAGCGAGTTTTCAAATAAGGGTCAAGATCTTTCTTGAATTGTGACGGCATCACAGCCGTGAAATTTGTAAGGATGCGTGGCGGTATATTGATCTCGCTCAGCATATCCACCTGCAGATAGTTGTAAATGTCATCACATGTGAGAAAACGGTTTACATCTTGACTTAAAAAGCTTTCGTGACTGCAGAAATTCATATTCCTGGGTCTTTCGGTAAAGTCACGTAGGTTCAAAGAAAATTTTAAAAAATAACAAAAAACGTTTTCGATCACAACACAAGCAGTCGTCTTCTGAAGATGACCACTTGTGTTGCGATTGAAACGTCGTAGTTTTTTGTTATTATTATTTTCTTTGAACCCATCTACACGACTTTACGGAAAGACCCAAGAATAACGGTTTATATCTTAAACTAACCAACTTTATTCACAAGTTAGATAGACAATTAAGAGATTTAAATATTATTTAAGTGACAATGATTATACAGCGGCAGAATTTCTGCAAACACGTTACCTTCAGATTGGGAGTGAAGGGGTCAGGGAGACGCATGTTGCGTGGGAAGGCACTGAGGATCAAGTTCCTCAGCTGGATGCAGTTTGGTGGAATGACATCGCAGAACCCATAGTGGTAGTCACAGAGGAACTCGGGGAAGTCGTGCAGGAGTACAAGCAGCACTCGCAATGTTCCCTGCAGGGGCAGCCAACAAAACACGTTAACTATACACAACTAAAACAAATGTAACGACATTGTGGGGTAGTGGCTCAGTGGCAGTGCAGAGCTCTCATGAATCACACAACCAGAGTTAAATTCCCAGCCATAGCGACACAACTGGCGAGTTATAGGCGAACAAGGTCATGGGCCCCCTTTGACTAAACTGGACTGACCAGTCTGGTTAGTAATGGTCAAACAGCTCAATCGTGTAGGCCTTCATCCAGCAACAGATTGGCAAGAGGCTCGTACATGAAATCTAGGATTGAAAACTCATTCTTCAGAACTGCTTTGTGTTCAATTTGTTGTCCTTCCCCCGCACCTCTGATTAGCACGGTTGGCTATGTACGGTGCAAAAACAAGTTGAATATATGTTACGAAACGCCATTTGTATTCCTAATATGCAGATTGTCATTTTAAATTAACATATGCAGCGATTCATGTAGGTCAAATATACAATAGAAACTAGTTGTATTTCTATTAGTGATGTTCTAGTGAGTGATCAGCGATCAGGGAGTTTTGTTTTACCAAGGGGGTAGTAAACAGACACTGCATGGGAAGGGAGATTCCTATACCTGGCCAGACACATGCCAAAGGCCTTACCTTGTAAAGCACCTGCATGGGTTTTGTCAGCTCCACATTGCGCAGAAAAGGACTTAGGTACTTGAACAGGTCGATGAGCAGTTGTGCGTACATCGGCCAGCCCTGCTTAAACACATGAACAAGGAGTGTCAAATTAAAAATTCTATGACACATGCTTCGTGTAAAGGAGTTCTCTCCTCCACACTTCAGGCTTTTAGCATCAGAAAATAATTTCCAGCATAGGATTTGCAAAACATCTTGGGACACAGGATTAACGGATGAAGACAGTTTTTGGAATTTTTCTTCATTTAAATTATACAAAAAAAACAGAATTAAAAGAGGTTTTGTTTGCCGACTGACAACATTATCCAGGCAATACCTTCTGTTGTGGAGTATGGGCCAGCATTCGAGCAATAAAGATGCGGTGAGAGATCAACTCCAGCCACGCAAACGTGAAACCTGGAGCCTTGGATGGACGCAGGATGTGGAACGTATTGCTAAAGGAGAACACACAATCAACATTTGGTTATGGTCAGACATAATAAAATCCCACCTATTCAAACTATAAAAAATTGGTCTAACTCATTGGTCAATTATAAAAAAGGTGATTAAAGGACGAATAACTGGTCCACTTATCATGAATCCAATGTCAGATCAGTAACAGCCTCTAAATAGAGCCCCAATAGTTTAGATAAATACCAAACTGTATGCAATTAGATTTAGATATTCCAACAAAGTCCATCCTTGTATTGTACTCTATTTGAATATCTATCATCTCTGCCTTTGCTAACCCACACGAAGCAGCATGACAATAACCTGCCCGGTGGGGTTGGGAGGCCCTCATCCCACTGTGGATTGACAATAGGCGGGGGTGCCAAAAGTGCACAATGCCTCACCAGAAGGCAGTCAGGGTTTGGAAATTGATGGACTCGAGCACATGTTCAGGTGCGTTCAGCTCCAGCAGCAGCATGATGAATATTCGGTGGTATGGCAGCTGCTGAAAATCTGTCCGACGTATCTCATGGTCTTGTAGGAGAACGCCAACCACGATTCCCAGCACCTGCACAACCAGTACCCCCGCAGAGAGAACTTAGAATTCAGAGGCAATGACCCCCTAAATTTCTAATAATGCAGTTCCAAAACCTTTTTGGAAATTGAAGAAATATGGTATACATTTCATACAATAGCAAAAACACAGCCAAATTCCACTTTGCATCAATGAAGTAAAATGTCAAGATGTGAAGAGTCCAGCTGGCAGGCTCTTTGCAATTTAATTCCAAGCCCACTTCTTATGCACGAGATCATATACACTGCAGAAAATCTTAAATTAGAAGCACACCCAATGCACAATATTTCCTCAGCAGAGCCCCAACAGACAAGCTCCCAGTTTACAATTGAGCAACCAAGTTAGGCTAATGTTACTGGTGGTATTCCGTGTCACGTGCACCACCTTATTCAGGAGGTTGATCTTCGTGACGGTGTTGGATGCATCGCCAGAGTGCTTCACAAGTAGGGCGATGAGTCTCACAAAGGCATCCAGCGTGTGGAAACATTTGGCGCGTGTCAGGGTGGGGTTTGCGGCTGGGTTAAGGTGCTGCTCGTTCAGTGCACGGTAGCACAGGTCCACGCACATCTCCGTGCACAGTCGGAAGAAGCGTGTTATCAAATCATCAGTCTTCAGGATGCCGTGCTGGTGCATCTACAATTAAAACAAAACACATCATGTTAATGTATTCAAATATAGGTGTACCCTGATACGTTAGATTTACGATAATTTCTTAAGTTAGTCACAAATTACACTTTTCTTTGGTTTGTCTCGTTTGTTTCGTTGTTTAAATTATTCTCGGTCGGTGGGAAAAAAAAAAAGAGTAAAAGCACTGTTGTTTGTCTGTACATGCATTATATACTGTTCCTGGCTGCTACGTTTTGTAGCGTCACCACTTGTTTACAAGCCAAGCCGCATAGTGCCAACTACTATGGGGGGGGGGGGGGGTCAGACGCCTCGACCCTCGCCCTCCCTCTCCCTGCAAAGCCTCCATCCCCTACCACTCGGATCACCCTCACCACGTTGACGTGCACAAGTTTCCCGTTAGGAACTCGGTGTACACTTTTTAATTACCCGTCTAGTTCTTATTATCCATATTTACACATGAATATCTTAGTTGTGTTGAAAAGTGACATTTTAATTAGAGGTTTTGCAACAGAAAATCTGAAGTTACAGAATGGGGCCTTATGGGAAAATACATTTTTATATACAGTACAATTTTCCACTTTACGTTCAAGTTATCAAGGAAACAGATTTGAAGCTTTCGTGACTGCAAGGATTCACTCTTTGGTTTTTTAGGTAAAGTCGCGAGAAAAAACCCCAAAGAGTATCAAGAACACAACCCAAATATAGCGAGGAATGCCCATATGCCAATGTGTTACTAATTTACATTTGAAGTATTAAGGTTCCATGATACATATCACTACTTCACACAAGGTCCGATATTTCGTTCCATGTGCTGGAGGTTTCAGTTCCTGAAGCAGCTTCTAGCTTCCACGAATGAATCCGTCAGACAGTGTTGAACACAACCCAAAAACAACACAACCGCTAAAAACCTACACCGTAGTGATGTCCCATGATGTTTTGGCCCTTTCCCACTACGGCAAATCACCTGTCCGACAAAGGCAGAGAAAGCCTTTGTGCTGTCGCGGCCGGCGGCGGGCGAGTGGTACATGTTGACCCACTCGCGCAGCAGATACTCGGCCTTCTCGTGCAGGCCAGGCGGGTCGTCGTACTCGCGCGCCTGAGAGATGCCAGAGTGCATCATGGACGTGGGGCCAGCGTGTGTGCGGTCCATCATTGGCTCATGGTTGGTTCGAATCACCTCCATCAACTGCGGCAGCCTGTTACACGTGCACACATGACGATGGATTAATAAACATTTTGGCTCAAAACAATTTCGCCAACGTGACAAAGATAAGCATGAAAACAAGAGGTATTTGTACTAGCTTTCTAGGCATCACATTATAAAAATTGCACTGCACAAGGCAAATAATTATTTGACACCGATGTAGACCACATTCTCGTTGGGAGTCCCTCAGTTCGAGGAGGACGTCTATCATGTTTAGTGGTGGCTCTTGGAGGTGGCCGAGTACAATTCTGGATCCGCAGATGTTGGGCATTGAGGGCACACTGTCAGAGACGTTAGTGGAATCCGCAGTGCCGGGTTGGTTTCCCTTTCTTTTCTGGCATCGATCTGCTTTGGCATCGAGACGTTGGATCTAGAAATGGGCCACGGCCTAGTGGATGCAGCGGCGCCACTCTAGGCGGTAGGCAGCCTCTGCTCCTCAGTCTTAAAGGCTGATTTTTCCACGCTTCAGGGAGAACTTGAGGGTATCCTTGAACCACTAGTCTATTTTACCGAGGTGCTGACATCATTTAAGTGCTGCTATTTTGGTTTTGGCAGCCAACATCGGCCGTAACGCCTGTGGAGGTTCATCACTTGTACCACCCTCCCAGTCCCTGACTGCCACATTTAGATAAGCTCCTCCCCCCCCCTCCCCTTAACAGTATTTAAAAGATCTTGTCTCTTGGATTTCCCTTCACTTGATACAGTAAATTTGGCTGTGACGGTCCCACCTGAAGGCAGACTTGTGTTGCCTCCGAAACGTCGTGATTTAATAGTTATTTTCATTTATTATTATTATTTTATTATTATTTTACCTACGTGACTTTACTAAAATATCTTAGAGTATGAATCCTTGAACCACTTCCTTTGTTCACCCCTCGTCCGCTGACCATTGGAAAGCTTGGAGAAAATGATCTGGCAGGGAAGGCAGTTCAGACACGAGGATGCAGTGGCTGGTCCATCAGGAGTTTCTTTTTAGAAGTATCACTTCAATGTTGGTGTCAGCTTGAAGAACACTCGCATTGGTGCAGTGATCTTCCCACTTGATCCCCTGGATTTGGCGGAGGTAGCGCTCGAGGTGCAGTGACATGGCGCTGGTAGGTTGTCCATTTTTTGCTGCAGTAGGAGCGTTGGGTTGACAATGGCCCAGTAAACTAGCTTTGGTCCTGCGGCAATATTTGGTTATTGAAGACGCGCTGTCGCAGTCTGTAGAAGGCGGCGCTGGCGCACTGGACTCTTCTTGTCGCCAGTGGCCGTTTGGGACAGATGACTACCAAGGGGAGGGGAAATACTCCACATATTTAAGTGGCTTGCCACCAACAGTCAGGTTTTGGTTTGGCTGTTTGGATGGCAGTTGGTGGAGGACCGTCAAGGTTAAGCCAAGTCTCTTATATGCACAGTTGAAGACATTTAGAGTCATTTGGAGGTCCCGCAGAGAGTGAGCCTGGGTTAGGTTACAGAATGCCAAGAACAGTTCATGCAGCTCAACACTGTTCTTGAATCTGTCGGACAGCGAACACCACATTCTGTCGTGCTCCAAGATGGTCGGGCTGGCCGTCTTTACAAATTAACATCTCATGACCACTTTTTACAGATCCAAATTCAATTAGTTGTGTTTTATCTTGTTCAAAGCATAGAATCAAATAGATGCCAGACAAATTTGTTCCCCTGCCCTTCCAGACCAAAATGTATAGCAGTCATGATCATCTATATACAACGATATATAAATTAGTCGTTTTGGAGCGTGTGCGGATGTGTCATGGCAATGCTCTTTCTTTCCAACCTGTTAATTGGCCAAAACAAAATGTACTAAAAGGGGATGGTAACACCAATATAAAATAAGGGTTATTATATTTAAAACATTTTTAAAGTTCAATTACAATTTAATGAAATCATTACTATGCTATAATTCACGGAGAAACCATAATCAACCACAGGGGGTGAGTATATCCCATTTCACAAATAAAAAACTTTACCCTATTCCGTTGATTGAATTTGTAATTTGTTAATCCTTGTACAATAACAGTTGCAGTAATGTTATAATTCCATGTTCTGGTTTTTTGTATGTTTTAAAGTAGAAGTCCATGCGAAAATGTTGGTATGGTCCCCCCATGCCGAGTGAGTGGTACATTCCTAACAGCGCTAAAGCTACGGGGAGTAATGTGGCTCAAAGCAGATTCTGGTAACATGATTTATTATTACAATGTTAATTTTGGTATCATTGGACGGATGTACATCAGAATATTTACACTGCTGTAAAGCTCTTAACATGTCCAGTAGGGGCACGGAGTAAGATCGTTATAACAGTACAAAAACATGACAGTAGTGCAAGTACAAGGAAGGTAAACAAATCACCCAAACACATCTACAGTATTTTTCAAATTACGACTTAAAACTTTCGTGACTGCAGGAATTCATATTCTTTGTTTCTTTCGGTAAAGTCACGTAGATAGAAACATAATAAGTGAATTAAAAAAAAACACTAATGTAGACTGTAGCCTGGTTTTTAAGCGGGTAAGCATATTTGGCAGTCTATGTTGTAGACTTATTCTTGGTTCTTTCAGTAATACAAAAAAAACACGACGTTTCCATCGCAACACAAGCGGTCGTCATCAGGAAAAGGGGGATTAGCCTCTAAAGGCGAACCGTTTATAAAGGTTTAGAGATGGGCCTAGCCCAAGTGTGTCAGCAGCATGGGCGGGGCAGCTAATTTTAATGTGGGAGAAAACAACGCCAACGCAGCGGATCTACACAAATCAAAGGGCCGCCAGCCAATCACTGCACCTCGCTCCACAGACGCACACAGCTGACGGTGGAGGTTGACGACAAAACACAAATCAAATCATGACCCAAAGTGGTTGATGACATCTTTCCAATGATTGCCGAGTTTATAACCATCCTCTCGGTTGAAATTGTCTGTATAAATGGATGGCTTCATGAACGAATCTTTGATATCCAGTAGGCTTGCAAAGTACCATCGTCTTGGAGACATAATTTTCTTGAGCCAGCCACATTAAAATAATTACCAGCCACGGCAGAAGTACTGGTCATACCGTGTTTCAAATCACCTTGTCATACATAGCAGGGGTAACCAAAAAGATGTCTAAAATCATGAACAAAACACAAGATCCAGGTCCGATTTAAACACAGTACATACACAATTCATGATCTGATCCCATCTGTGAAGGACAAGAATCCTGACATGCAATATCCCGGCATCTACAAACTAAGCTGTATCTACGGCAGCAGTTATATTGGGGAAACTAAATGACATGTCTCGGACCGTGTTCGGGAGCATAAGGCAGATTTGAAACATGGTAGGGCCAATACTTCTGCCGTGGCTGATCATTATTTTAATGCGGCTGGCTCACACGAAAATGATTTCTCTAAGATGATAGAACTCTGCAAGCACACTGGCTATTTTTTGTATTACTTAAAGAACCAAGAATACGTCTACATTATAGACTGCCAGTACATCACTCAAATTAAGAACCAGGCTACAGTCGACATTAGTGTTTTATTTACATTTATTTAAAAAATCATTTTATTATTTTTCTATCTACGGACTTCACCAAAATAACCAAAGAATAGTATTTTGAAAAGTTAGTATTTTTGTGCGTGCGTTTGTAAATTCGGGCATTGCCAGAAAGTGCCTCCATTTTTTTCTACTATATCTGTACGTATTGTTGCACAATATTAAGACGACACCTCATTAGTCTTATTTAACTATGTATGATTTATCACCGATGTCACTTTTATTTGACACTTATTTTCTAAACACCCTCGCTATTTACTGGAAACAGCTCAGATATAGCACATGGTGAGAGGATGCATACCTGTCAACCTCTTATCAGTGCCTACCTTATTATAGACCAATGAAGATCTTAATGGTCACCCTGTGCTCTTATACATCTCAACGATCATCCTACAACGTCCGATCCCAATTACACACACTACACAGCACACTATTTTTATGAGATATTGAAATACAACCAGAAGTAGAGGAGTGATTTAACTGCCGGTTTACTCCTGCATTTTTTAAAATGCTACAACTGTGATAGCAATACTCTTGCCGACAGGTTTAAATAATTCTCATTTACGAAGTTTCAAAGTGATGGCAGTCAACCCAGAAAAAAAGCCGAGATAATACCCAAGCTATATTACAGCTCTGCTTTTTCAATAGAGCCTGAAGGTTTTTCACTTAACAGTTAGTGGTTGAGCCTAAAACGTACCCTTCAGGAGCGTTGACGCGAGAGTGGGCGTTGATTCTCATCAGTGTCTCAATGGTGTTGAAGAGGTCAGCCTCTGTAATCTGCGGGGTGCCCCGTTCCTCCACAAGGTGGATACGCACCAGCTGCATAGCGAACGCCACCGCCATGTAGTTCAGCCCATTCTCCATCGACTGTGTCAAACAGAAAAATGCCATCCAAGTCACTTTGCTCACAAAATGCTATTCACGTATTCCTCAAATTAGTGTAGTTTTAGTTATACAAGTGCAACGTCATGAGACAAAGAAATTAAGATGTTTAACTCTTTCAGGAATGCATCAATAGCATAAAACTTTGGTTAAAAGAAAATTACATTACCAAACCATTTGATACCCATTCAATAGTACTCACTGGGTAGTTAAGGTCTTTTATGTTCTCTGTACCGAACTAAAATATTTAGTCCTTGGAGCTGATAGTGAATTAAGTGTACTAAGTTAATACTTATTTTCCGCCATCATCTGTAAACCGAATACCAATCACGAGTGACTTTTTATATTAAAACAAATTCTGAGCAGTGCCAGGTCAATGCTGACATGGTATTAATCTGCAAAATGTGGACATGCGCAACGAATCATTAGATTATTTTTTGGCACATGCAAAAAAGGTTGGCAGTTAAGAATAAAAAAAAAGCTTAAAAGACTAAGTTCACCTGCGCAAGGTGGATGTCGTACTGCTGCATGTTGACCAGGTGGTGGCAAATGAGCAGTTCCACAGCCTCTACATTGTAGCGGTATTCATCGCGACACTCCATCAAGCACCTGCAACCAAAGATAGTGTTACAATGGACGTACAGAAACCTCAACGTATTCAGATTAAAAAACTGGAGGAATCCTATGAGCTATGAATCTCTTCTCAGAGATGTCCAGGAGGGGTGGGTCATTCAAGTTTATCATCATGGGCGAATGTATATGGCACCAATTATACCTTGTGACCTGCTTGCTGGTCCACATAGGGCCATAGGCTCGGGGATCTTGAACAGCTTTCAGCACCAGCAGGTGGCAATCCCTGTAACGCACGATGATCTCATGATCACCACCCACCGTGGCATCCAGAAGTCCTTCCACCGCCTGCAAGAAAAAGGACACATGGAAGTGCTTAAAGAGGCTCTGTAGAGTCATTCTATGGCACAAAAGACAGTGTCGTCTTGACGTGTTAGTGTGCAGCCTTTGATGGTAGCAATGCAAGCATCTACACAAAACTCCATGCCAAAGTGCGCACAGCAGCAATACCTTCTGCAGCAGGGCGACGGCTGTCACGATTTCGCGAGAGTTCCTGGCCAGCAGGACGGCCTCGAGCAGGGATTGCATGGCAGCAACATGCGGGTTCATGGCGACAGTGCCAGGGAGCGTGTGCAGGCAGTGCTCCAGCTCCGCAATGCACTTGTCGTACACAGCCGTGATGTCGTCTGTCCCCCATTGCTGCTACCAGGTGGGGGTGTGCCACACAGAAAGATAATACACAATCAAATCCAAAAGGAATGCACAAATACAAAAATACTAAGGAAAAGAACACTGCTTAATTTCATGAAAATCTATTATGTAGGGCCCTCAAGTCAATCTAAAGTTGGCTTAAGGTTTCCCACATTGTTAGGGATTTTTTAAACACAATTCATCAGGGATTTTTTAATTCTCAATCTGGCCATAAATACCTGCATGGGCTTCGTGAGGAATCCAGTAGGCTGTGTGATGTCATTGTTGGGCAGAAATCCTGGGATGCAGCGAGCAAACTCTTCATATACAGCCAGCTGTTTGGGGTCTACACCACCCACCTGCAATACAAGAACCCATATAAAAGCGAGGCTCTGAGAATAGCTACTCAAAGACAATTCGTATGAAACCATTCCACACAAACTCAATGACCGACTATGGTTTTAAAAACGCATCAATGCAGAGGATGGGTGATATTAAATGGCACATCAGCTTTGCTCACTCTCAGTCGGATCTGCTCGGGCATGCGTTCGGCCTGGTAAGTGAGCACCACAGGGTCACAATATCTCCGTCCCTCCTGACGTGCATGCTTTCGCAATTCAAATTCCTGCAAACACGCACAATACAAGTGAATACATGGAGGCATAACAGATTGGTTACTTGCAGGCATAGCTGTAAAACACAAATATACGTCTGTGCTAATGGCAGTCAAAAAAAACACATTTACGGTAGCAAGTCTTTTGTCCATTTCAGGGCCAGCTTTCTCAACAGCCATCTTCTGGATGAAGCAGCATGCCAGCTCACAGTTGTCCTGAGCAAGCTGGTTCGCTGCCTGGTCAATAATATCCTTCTGTGGGAATGTAGCTGGTCCCTGTGCAGAACATAAACAAATATTAACTTAGCAAGCCAGTACCAATGAGGTGGCCACACGTTTTTAGGAGATTACACAACTGTAGTCATGGAAACACACAATTCAGACAAGCTTACACCCATAGGCTCCAACGCAACGGTGCCAAAACACTTGTGCAGAGAGTACAATTATTTTTAATATAAACATTTGCTTGTACATTTCATTCATAACCTTGCTCAAATTCCATGTATTGGGGACACAGCTTGATCTTTTGTAACAATTGGTTTAGGGGCTTCATGGATTATGTAAAAACAAGTAAATATCCTCAGAAGGAACACATTTCGCAGATATGGCAACAAGCAGTTGCTCGGCTTCCTTATAAAAGCAAATCACCAATGCAAAATGTGGAGTTAGAAATATGAACAGCATTAAGTGTTGAGATCTAAAAACCTCACACATCCGAACTTACGATGATGTGCTCGTCAAGGCTCACCCGTAGGGTCGCCAGGAAGTTGTTCTTCAGGTTATTAGCAATGCTGACCATCAGGGGCTCTCGGCATGTGATCATTGCCATGCCGGCTGTCAGGTTGCGCATCATGTGCTGCGCCGCTGCGCGCATACGGCTTTCCTCTGGGTCCAGCGCAAAATCCTTACGAACAATCTGCTCGCACGTGGTCATGGCGATCTTGATGGATCGCTCGACGACTGGGTGTACCAGCTCCTGCACGGCGCGCTCCAGCGACGGCCGCACGCACTGTTTCAGATGTGGGTGTGTCTGAAACAGCCCGATCTGCGCCAAAAATCACACGTACCAAACAACGCATTTTTACAAAGATCAAAAAAGTAACCTCAGGTTTTATAAAGAGTAGGGGACAATGATTACCACTCTCCCCCCACCACAACCCTTCAATAGAGTGTATACGAGTTGGATTTCAACTCAAGATATTCTTTATTGGCAGGTTTAGTCTCATTAGTCAGTGTCAAAGATTGATTTGCTTCAATAGGCAGTATTTAGTAAGAATACAATTTGCATAACCAATTAAAACTCGCGATTCAATGCACATTCATTGTAGTGCAAGAACATATTTGTGACGATTCATTGTGTAATAAACACACTTCAACAAAAATACAATTAAAAGGCTTGTACTAATGTTGGATGGTTGAGTGGTCAATGTCAAGGTTGGTACTCACGCTGGGAGCAATGCTGACATGCGGAGCCAGACCGGTGAGCGAGTACACGTTGATATCATAGAAATTGAACTGGGGTTGCGGAGGTCCAGCTGCTGTGGTAGTTGTGGTCGTTCCACTTGTTATCACTATAAAGAGGTAGTAAGGATTTCAGTGGCGAGAGTTATTCCACGCTCAGCAACAGATGAAATGTCAAAAATGTATAACACGAAAAACTGAAAGGACAATTTGAAACAATAACTAGCAAATACAAATATTTTGATGCCGACACAGAGACCCAGTGGCCAGAATTTGGCTTACCAGTGGTGACAGGAGGTGGTTGAACCAATACTTCATCAACTGGCTTCACCTCCTTTTTGGGTGCAGAAAGCTGTTCCTCCACACTCTTCATGCGATCTTTGTCCTTGAGGTAGTTGCCAGGCTTCAGCTCATTGATGTCAAGCGCCAGAGTCTTGCAGAGAACTTCTATCTCAAATTTCAAGTTCAGCTGTGGCCCAAGGAAGACAGGAGATGGTTGCAGTCACCCACAGGAACATACATAAAGCTGCTAAAGCAAACAAAAAAATGCAGCCGTTGTATTTTGATATATATGAAATAAAAAAGGTATGTAACCCTCTGCACACCTTTAGGTCTGGTTCCTGATGCAACTCGGCAAGCACGTTCATGATTGCCATGGTCCAGGGGTTTGGAGGACGAAACACCTGCCCCACAACAGGATGTCATTCGCACGAGATCAAGAGTACACAAGGCTGGAATTACACAGCTTCAGCCAGCACTCGCATTACATCGGTAAACACATGCGGTACGCTTTTCACGGGTGCTCTGCGGTTTGCACAAAAATATCCTAACGAATTAATCATGTCAACAGCACTCGTGTTAATTACAACGTGCATAAAAATGGAAACATTTTCAGAAACACTTAGCAAGGTGTACAAATCAATATAAATTTGACCATCGCTAGAGCATAAAACTAAGTTTCTCACCAGACTCTTAGAGCAGGACTCCAGAACTTTGGCTACAAATGGAACAACATAGAGTAGCTCTTGCTGTCCTTTCATGTATGCCTCAAGGAGCAGAGACTTGACATCTATGTCCTGAAACAAACCCAGTCGTAGTGTTAACATTCACTAGTATGACAAAACTTCACTAGGTAATCCATATTGGTAATTAATTGAAATTGTGGTTAAACTTACTATCTGTAGAATAGGCCTATTCTTAGCCAGGGTCACCATTCCCAACCAGTGACCCAGATTCTTTAGAAGGGAACGGTCTGAAAAATTTGCAGCCTGCTTGTCAGATGTTAGCAGCACCTAAAAAACAAATACATCAGACAGAAATTAGGACCAATCTTTAATAAATTGGTAAAAGGAATTATTTTTATATGCATTTACCCACGGCAAAACTATCCAAAACAGCACAATATTTTCATTTAAATGTAAAGTCTTCCCGATGCAGTGGAATTACAATTCTAGCACACATTATAAAATCACATCACAAACATACCTTTATGTTCCTGTACGTTTCATTGAGCACTATTTTAGTGAAGTCCGGATTTTTCAGGGTGTCGAGGAAGTTTGAGTAGAGCCCATGAAAATTTGGCTCAATGCTCACTCTCTTCATCACCAGGTATTGCGCTATCCAAGGCATGGACTCGTCTTTTACACTGTCCTTTAGTTCCTCAGTCTGCGATAAGAGATGGACCAGTTAGATGACAAGGGTTTGTGCTGCATTGTGGTTTTAGCTATAAATACGGCCACAAAATATAAATGTTATGCAATTATGCTACAGAAGTAGATAATGCATTGATTCATATTGACACTCATGATAAATGCAATGACTTGCGTGGGACAGGCCATTATCCAAAAATAGTTAAGACAAGATTAATGCAAGAATTTTTTTCATTGAAACCAAATTGTGGCAAGCAATTTAACTGCTTACATTTGTATGCATTAAATGTCTAAACAAAAACAAACCTTCTGTGCCATGTTGGACTGCGAGAGGTTGTTGAAAATGAAAAATATTTTGTCTTGAACGCTCTCTTGGGGTTCAATGATGCGATCCGAGATGTCTGTTGCCACCAGCAAAGTGTCAATGTTTGTCGTGTTAATGGAAGGCTGTGAAAATAAACAAAGTACATAACAGATAAGCAAAAGCAAGACAACTGCATTTTTACATTGTACATATATTTACACTTATTTAGGACAAGAGAATTGCATAATTTACATTTGGTATTCACATCATTCTTAGGTGGTGTAACGATGTGCAATCTCAATTGAGCAAACGCTTGGAAATTGCAAAGTGAATAAATTTCAACCACGACGCAAGCACAATGGTCTACTCTAGTGAATGATAGCAGGGAATCAAATGTTTATTCGTAAGTAGACGGCACGCGCATTTTACAGTTAAACACAAGTGCAATAATTTGTGTAAGATTGAAAACACACCGGGGCATCTTTCTTAAAGTTGGTGGGTGTCGTTTTGGTTCCAGTTGTTGCCTTGGGGACGAGTGTGTTGGCGAGGGCAGAGGGTGGCGCCATAGTGGTGATGGCAGGGCTGGGCAAGCTGGGCTTGGTGTGGCTCAGACTACTGGCCAGTGCGATGCTGCCGGGTGTGGTGATGGAGCCCTGCATCTTCACAGGAGGGTCTCGAGACTGTTGTCCGTACTCGATGTACTGTGTGGGGGAAGCAGAATCGATGGCGGCTCCAGTCACCTCCGCTCCGACAAAACAAGTGCTCAAATTATTCATTAATGCAGTCATAGTAAACTTACTTGTATTTTTTTAAATATGCACAAACGGTTTTATTCAGTGCGTGCGCATTTTTAGAAATAATCACGAGGTCAATGATACTATTCTGTTATAAAAAAAGTATGAAAGTAGTGGCAATACTGACGATTGGGCGAGATCATTTGCATAGGTATCACTAGGTACCACTAGGTACCTACATTCTGTAAATGTGATGATTTTAATAGGTTTAAGGAAAATAAGATAATTTCCACCATTTTAAAACGGGGATTAATCAAACCAAGTAGCCATGTTTCTTGCATTGTCCATATAAAAACATGGTAATTGTTATATCTACAGCGATTAGCCTTCATAAATAGATAACATTTAGCTCAAAATCTCGCCTCAGCAGCCCTGCCAATGCTTATAATATGACAGTAAGCAATAAACAGAAGTGTAGTGATAGTTTACATACTAGCATTGTTTTAACTCCAGTAAAATCATCCGCTTACCTCTATCAAGTGATGTGGGAACTGGCTGAAGTGTGCAATCGATGCAAGGTGCTGACAGTATTGGGGATAATCTTTCAATCTAAAAAAATACAATGTTGTAAACGATAAATCTCAATTTTTCAATCAACATTAAAAAGTAAACATTTGGCTATTGTCTCCATTATGCTTTAAAAGGAAGCATATAAAACAACAATTGTATAAAACAACATAATTTGGTCACACAGCAATAAGCAGCAGGCTTTATTGCCCAAGAAAATAATTAGAAAGGTACTGCACCTGTTTTTGAAACGGTCCAGAGCGGCAATGCCAAAATAGTACATCTTGGAGCCAAAGGCCTTGCGCAGGGCCTCCAGCACATAGCGTAGGGCAAGGCCTAGGGCCATGTATGTCACGAGCCCCTTCTCAATAATGCCCCCAAACAGGCAGGCTGTGATGTGCAGCTCTTTGTCCGGGTATTGTGGGAAGAAGCGGTACTCTTCAAACAGATTGCGCAGCATGCAGTTGAACACTTCTCGCTCTCGTTTGTTGTTCGAGTCCTTGAAACTCTGCAACATTTCCAGCACCTGAACAGACAAGCAGCACGTACAACCCTTCGTTAAAAAATAAAACCAGAGCGAATGGCAAAAACCTAAAATCCAACAAGAAATATGAATTCATAATAAAGGTTTTTGGGTTAGATCGCGTTCTTTATGAATGTGTCGTAAACCCTCCACCAGCCGACACGCCCAATCAGTAAAAAAGTTTCGCGTTGACAAAAGACAAATATTAAGACGTAATACCAACAGATCATTTTGTACTTGAATATAAACTGTCAAGTCTGAAAAAAATTGACACTTAAAAAGGTTTACCTTCAGTATGACAATGACATTTGTGCAGTCTAAGTTAGAACATGTAATGTCCCTTGGAAGGACCAAAAATGTAGTTTCTTACTAACGAAGAATTACATTTTCAGACCTTCTGGGACACAGCCTTGGTATATATTTACAAGGAGCTATTTATATTTTGGATTGCAGCTTTTTTAAAAGTGGGGTTTAAGCAAGTACGTGCCTCATCCACAGACATGGTGGGGTGGGGGGGTTGGTTGTAGATGCGTTGGAAGTAGCTGTTTGCCTCGTCATCAATCTCCTTACTGAACTGCTGACTCATCTCTGGAGAAACCTGTGATAGGTCAGCTGGGGAAAAACACTACTTAGTACCTCAGAACCAGAACAGCACATTCATGCATATTACAAACTAAACTACCAAAAATATTTACAAGTTACAGGAACGATACATATGAAGGTATGTTATCGCATAAATTAAGGATATTATCATGCACCAGAATGATTTCCAAAAGCAACATGAATGCACAAAGAACAAATGACAATTTCAAATCACTCAACTCATTCACTCAGGATGGCTTAGTGGAAAGCATGAAGAGCAATGCCAAGCAAAACAGCCACGTCAAAGAGCTAAAATGCAGTGATCAAAAGGAATTGTTAAAAGCCATGAAAACTGTGATTCCACAAGGGAGGATGCCAATGGCTTGTGTTACAAGCAAAAAAGGACCTCTGAACAATGTCCAGAAACAATACAATGCATGTAAAAAAGATAAGCACTTGTCTCTTTATTTGATGAAAAGCAAAAATGTAATAACTACTAGAACATTTACATGCAGAAAAGTGAGATGGAGCAAGTGCATGCTGACAATTACAAGGACTTAAGTTAATCTAAACAAAGCACAACAGACAAAAATGATTATGAAGTATCACACCAATTTAGCAATGTATTAACAATAATACACATTGGTAAGATACTGTAAAACCAGAGGTTAGGAGCTTACAAAGCATGGATTATTAAGCATGCAGCAGCTTGGGATGGACCAAACACACCACCCACTTACACGGCTTCAGCTTACTCTGCTGGAAGGCTGGGGGGTTTATCCCCGGGAGGTTGAGCTTGCGCTGGCTGAATGGATCGCTTGTGCCAACGCCTTGCAGTCCCAGGTTCGAGCTGCTCATCCCACTCAGGCCTCCACTTCCAAGACCTTCAATTATAGTTAACAATGTAAATGTGCAGTCAATCAGAAACTGTATTTAGAATAGAGGAATCCGATGAGCTATTAAGCTCTTTTTCAGAGTCGATTAACATAACCCCTTTAAAATGGTGTTGCCCACAGAATGCCTCATTAGCTAGTGTTATCCCGAAATAAACTTGTATTGGCAAGTCAGTGTGAATAAGTATATTTAGTATACAAGCCATCAAAAAATGTTTCCGATATAGATGACTGATAATTTGTTTCTTACTTTTAAAAGAGTTTTCAAGTTGAAGATATTGCAAGAAAACCCCAGTTATAGCAAGACTTTTTATAGCACCTATGCTTGGCCTGTACCACTACTGATAGAGCCATGCACAGGTTCAAAGTAGGTGCACAATACTGTAAAAATTGTAGTTCTTCAAAAATCGTAGATCAAAGGATTAGAAGCGCTCATTAAATTGTACACTATTAAAATAATATACATTCATTCGAGAAAAGACCTAACCTGGCACGGGCAGCTGGGAGGTAAGCCCCAGGCTGGAGAATGGAGATTGGCTAGGTGCTGAGAGCGGAGGAAAGGCCTTGGCTGGTGACGGAGGTGCGTTGAAGGTTTGTCCAAGGTTGGGTGGAAAGGCCTGCATACCACCGGCGTGGGCAGGTGCTGCTCCACTGATGTTGAGAGAGGCAATACTGGATAGTGCATCCAGCTGAAGGAACAGACCAGCATTGTGACAATGTTCAGAATTGTGTTTCATCACGGCCAATAATATAGGATGTTATACAGCACGCAGCTATTTACGGCATTTTAAAAACAGATGGACCAACTATAATTAGAGTGAACAAAAACGTTAAACTTAATGTTTCTGCACTTTAATGCAAAGCCTGTACATTTTCGAAGTGAAATTTTACTGCTGCTATGTAGCACTAATGATGACAGTCATTAAAATACAGCATATATTTTGTTGCGGTGCACTTTTATCTTCAATGAAAAAAAGCTTATTTCACGCAGGTGAGAATTAGGTGTAGAACAAAAAACGGTAATTACCCTCTCAGGTGTCCTGACCTGCACAGGCGAGATGGAGTCCAGTGTGCTCGTGCTCGAAACACGGCCTTTGGGCATTACGCCAGGTGGAGGCTGCCGAGCCTTATTCATCACATTACTGCAGTTTGCTACCATGGTCAATATAGTCTCCGAAAGCTCTTGCGATACATTGCTGCATGCAAACAGAGAAAATAACCAGAGTGAACAAAAAATAATAAACTTGGAGCATATACTTTAGTAGCAAGTTGGAAAAAAGGCTATCAATTCACATACCTTTTTAGTCCATCTTACACAAAAGGATAATACAATTACAGACTATAGAGTTGTCTAGACAACCATGCGAAAACATGTTCTGCCACTATAAACATACCCTGCACAGGCCTGCAAGCAGGCCAACATAGCAGCCAAGGTTTCAGGTGGAAGTTGGGCACTCTTCGGTTGGTCTTTTTCAGGGGGCAGACCACCCATGATTGAAGGGCAGCGACGCTTCAGGAAGCTTACACAAGCTTGTATGAATGGCTCCTGAAGCACAACCACAAACAGGTAAATGTTTATTTTTAATAGTTGAATGCAATGTACAAAAATATTTCTACACAAAACTATTATTCTGGGCAAGTTTGAAGCTTCAACAGACTTTAAAGTTAAAGGAAGGCATGTCACCCTCGGTACCCTCGTGACTTCACTCAAGTCGAATCCATTTTAATAGAATGAACTGTGGTGTCACATAATGCCGAGATACACGTACTCGTCTTAAACAGGTCAAAGATTAAAATTTTGGATAGCTCCGAATAAAGCTTGGGTATTTATATATAAAGATTTAAATTGGGGATGCATCTCATTTAGGAATGCAAAATAGAACACGTTGTTGTTTCAAAACACTTACATTTTACAAAAAAGTATTTGAACCTACCCCATGCTCACGGATCTTGTCTGTGAGCCATTTGTCAAGCTTTAGGTATTCACGACGAGATGCCAGCACAGCCAAATCAATGACGAAGGCAAATGGCGTGGCATTTAGCAGCATCGAGAGGGCCTGTAAAACAGGGATTTAAACCTTTGACACTACAACACAATCCATTCATTTGTTTAATCTAAACAATATGAACAAAAATATAAAGATCGTTTGTGTCTTACTTTTAAAAGAGTTTTTCAATCTTGGAGAAAATGAAAAACCCCAGTTATAGCAAGATATTTTATGTAGCACCACTGCTTGGCTTGCACTACCACAGCATGGTAGAGCAAGTTCAAAGGTAGTGCACTGGAAAGATAAGTTAGATAGCATTTTCCCCCCACGATCACTCAACTACGGAAAAGTGTGCGTACTTTTAGGTCTTGGGCCACATCGAGTATGCGGGAGAGGCGCGTCTGATCGTACTGCTCTCCTCTCATGTACCACTCGGCCATGGCGTGCATGATGAGCTGTCGGATGGTAGGAGACTGCCCCTGTCGAAATAATGTCCATCATATTTGGTTACAATTCACATCTGAAGCCAGACGGAAGAGCAAAAACATGACTGCGATAATCTTGCAATCCCGGTGTGAGCACTACGAACCTGCCCGTGCCAGGCGTAGTGTAGGATGATGGCAGAGTTGGGGTGGTTCCCCAAGAAGATGGGCATCAGCAAGGAGATGAGATCATGGCGCAGTGTGTTCCAGGTGCAGTTGATCTGTAGCAGTGCCAACACCAGCAGGTCTGGGCAGTGCTTGAGTGGGAAGCTGAACAGCTGCTTCACCTGCTCATAGTGCCCAGATTCTGCCAGTCTCAGCAATGTTTCCATTAGATCCAGTGATTTCCTACGAAAGGCACACAAGGGTATTGGTTTTGCACAATATAATTTGAGCATTAAAAGGTTTAGTTTTAGAATAATTTTCAAAATTGATTTCTGTAACCTAAAGTATAGTGCAGTGAGAACGTGTAATAATTACCAGGTAGCAATCTCTCTGTTGTCATCCTCTGGAGGGGCTTTGAGGATGTCAGTGACCACAGTATGACAGACATAATCGGCAAAGCAAAACACATCTGGGTTGAGCAACGAGTGCTGAATGAAAGACATCTGGAAAACAAAAACATTCATGAATGATACACAAATCGTGAAAAACAAAAATAAATCACGAGCAGAAGACAATTTCGAAAAACACAAATCAATGGCAAATATACCTGCCCGTCGGTGTTTTTCCAGGGACGATAAACAAGTTCCACCGGAAAGACATCCATGCCCAATCCCTTTTGTATGCCATACACAACGATCTGTAGTCCCTTTCCATCCTTGATTTGAAAGCCAGGGTGATCCAACTCATAAGCCACTTCCTTGAAATTAATGTGCAGGTTCTGGAAAAAACAATACCATCTTTAAGGCAATAGTTGAAACTATAATAAACATCCCAGAAATTACAACTCCAGTGTATAGAGCAGTCCAAGACGGTGAGCTTAAAATACTTACAGGGTCTTTGACAACATCAATGAAAATTTCCACATTCCAAGTATGAGTCTGAGTCGATTCACTCTTATCCTTCCCATCACTCCAGATGCTTCCTCCAGGACCACATATAGACTGCAAAGAGAGGGACGTTTAAAATGTGTCAGACGTTTAAGACGTGCTTAAAAAGAGATGCTGCATACCAGCCAATATGACAGTTACCTGCAATGGCATCCCATCTGTCAAGCTGGAGTGAGATCTTGCCATCATCCCCAACACCCGAGCCACCTGCAATGCCTGTACATCCCTCACGCCAAACTGCACGATGAGGGTACGGCATTCATCAATGCTGCAAAAAAAAGAATGACAACGATGTTAGAAATTCCATATCCTTGTACGTAAAGCCAAAACACCATCCAGACTTTTTAATTAGAAAATAAACTTATGCGAACCTGGAACAGCAGCTGTATCCAACCTCCTGCATGAGGTCTGCCAAGGAGCCTTCCATTGAGGTTTTGGCCATGCCGGATGTATCAGGCAGGAGGCGGTCCATCAGCAGGTCTGCCTTGTCAAGATATAGCAGCGGTGATAGCACCACCGGGCAACGTTCCCTCGGGAAATCTGTCCAAGAAGGTAAACAAACCTCATGAAAAATCAGAACTCCACAAACAAGCAATTCACTTGCTGTAAAAAAACATTTAACTAATTCTAACCATTTCTGCACACGATGGGAAACTTGTCAGAGGCGTACATCCACAATGGAAACAAGAGTTACACACAAAGATGCCTTCTCGACAAAGGTATGCTTGAGACGATATGATTGGATGGCCTTTGGCAGTACCACTTTCCTCAAGTGAACAGGGGAGGGCTTGTCTACAAAACCCAGGAAACGCAAGACAGCAGTATGAGGGCTATACTGTATTCATCGGTATATAGCATTGGGCAATGATTTGCAACCAAGATGTTACCACCATTGACACATTTGAGGTGGTCTAAAACAACGTGCATATTTTACAAGCAGTATGGTGGTGTCAAGTGGAACGTAAAGGCGTAATGGGAAGACTGATCCTATGTCCACAAATGTCACCTTTTGTTCTTTTGATCTCAACTTCTAGGTTTATTGCCTCTTAAAGAACACTAACTGTTTTTTCATATTTTAATGCAAAACCACAGCCACAAACATACCTTTGCGTAATGTCTGCAGGAAAGCCTGCAGCTGCTCTTGAGCAACGCAAAAAGTTCCCCGCGGCCCGTAGAGCAGCAGAGAAAGTAGCAGATGCAGCAACTCGATGGCAATGTCCTGGAATCCACCCTCCTGCTGCCCACCAACCTCGCTATCAACGTACGATCGCAGCAAATCCGGCAGCTTCTGTTTCACAAACTGCCCCGCTGAGACAAACAAGACCACTCCAGTTACATTATGAAACTCTACGTGAAAAAATGTAATTAAGTATTTTTTTCACAAATGTAAACAATTACTTTCAAACACTTACCAAATCCCTGGAGGTCTTGATTCGAAGAGTTTAACAGTGCAAGACCAACCACCACCTAGACATTTGACAAAGGTTAAAAGTGAATTTACAAAGAAAGCACCATTTTAAGAACATCTTAAAAAGTGTATGTGATTAAAAGAAACTCAAAATAATTCCATACCTCTTGAACTTTGCTCAACTTCAACACTTTGCTGAGCTGAGTAAGCAAATGAGGGGATGGTCGGAGGCTCTAAAAAAATGGGAGCATAAACAAGTGTTATGTTTAAGTACTGATAGCAACATTGTTCATTTACCACGACCTTTAAAAAATTATGGGATTATATTTGAAGAAACAAATATCATACCTTCTGATAGTGCAAGGGATTGTCGATGGCGTAGCAAAGCGTTGATACAAAGTTTGGCTTGGTTATCAACGCAATGCACTCTTGGATCAGAAACTGGGTCTGAGAAGTCAACAAAATGTCAAAGATTGCCATCAAGGTAAAAAAAAGATACTATGCCACAAACACAACATTTGAGTGACAATGAACATGTATAGAAAACAAACGATTATCACCAGAGAACGTTTGTACCTGATGGAAATCTTTGCCGCTACTTTTACCATCGCCGCTGAAATCCACATGAGAGAAGAGGCAACGAAGCAGATGTCTGTCTGCCTCGGGGCCGTGGTTGCTCACAAGCTGGGCACACAAGACAAACAAGGCAGTTTTAAAACCAGGCCCACAAAGGGAGATTCTGCAGGTCTGCCCGTTATCAGTTTCATAACTCATTAACAGCGTATGTTCTAAAAGAATACAAGTTCCTGGTATAATCCAGATATTTTCATGTGAAGAGAAAATTGAAAAAACCCCTTCGACAATGCAATTTCAAACCTGATACTTGGAGATCACACATTAGACATCACGTGCAAGATCCGACAGATCTTTGATTTTCCATGCAGCATATGGGCAACCATAACCCACATCGACACAATCTATAGCAGTGCGAAAACTTGAAGCACAAATGCTTCAGTGTGCAACTGAGTAATCATGGACCGTACGATCCCCATACCCGATTCATAAATACGAAAGAGGCATCACAGCAAAACTATTCTACTCGTGACGAAATTACCTGGCACAACCATCTGACTGTAACATTATAATAGTTGATCTACGCCTTTTTCAGCCATACAAATAAGCCGAAACAAATTATAACCAAAGGGCCGTGTGAGAGAGCCTATATTTTAACGGATGGAATGAAGGAAATACACCATTTGGCGATTGATGATATACCTAGCAATATGGACATATGCCTCATTAACAAAACAATACCGTTGCCGGTCTAGTTAAATTTTATATCGTATCGTTTATGGAAATTGCACACTTCGAGCAACCACAAGCAAGCTGGAAGGCAGACAGGCAGTGAGCCAGCGCCAACCATTTCCCCAACTCTAGTCTTAGATGTATTAAGAGGTTCAGTTAATCGAGGACTAATACTCTTTGGTTCTTTCGGTAAAGTCATGTAGGTATAAAATAAATTAAATCACGACGTTTCGGGCGCAACACAAGCGTCCGTCATCAAATCTAGAATGAGTATTAATACACGAATTACCAAAGCGCGCGAGGGGGGCAACCCTATCCCATACCAGATGGAACAGGTCGTGTCCACATTGTTACTGTACCGCATTCTTCTGGCAAGCCAGGGGTATGACACTTTAAGGCCTACGTGTGATAGATCACCCTCGCCTCGAGCACTGGATTAGACTTGCGCCACCACCGCTCGGCTGAGTGTTGTGTTCACGTGATTCGCTGCGTTCACATTCATCGTGGTCAGCCGCGTTCATTTCTTTGAGAAGGCAGTCAATCAGCAAAGTAATAGGGATTACCAAACTGCCTTATTTTTTAAAAATAGGACGAAAAAAACCACGTGGCAGAATAAGGCGAACGTATAGTTGTGAAACTTCAAAGACACAGCAATGATTTTACTGCCACTGCAAATAAAAGTGAACACCGCAACTCGTATCCGTCAGCACTGCCCACTTTGTGTTCATGACTCAGGACATGCGGCCATTTGTGCCCCTTGGCATCTGGGACTTCCAAAGCCAAACACGAGACTATTAAATTTCCCACAAGATATAAATGTAACTACTATATCTGATCACATTTACCACATCGCAAGTCTCCGGAAGAATTGAGACGTTTTACGAACACCACTTTTATTCCCAAATGTGCCGTTGGCTTGGGCTGCGTAGTGGTCAGGGCATGGCAGTAGCAAATGTATTATGGAATCGATCTGTGCGGACCAATGCATGTTTTAGTGTCGTATCGTATGTGGTGGGATTCACCTGGCTCTACGGTTACCTACCACATCTAATTATACTAAGGATTAGACTATACTAAGGAGTTTGGCCTAAATGGGACAAATATCCCATTGTAGGCCTCTCCTAAAAAAAAGTCTTAAAACTCAACGAGACGTTCCTATATAAATAAAGGGACATTATTTATACATTATTACATTAGTGCATGATTAAATAGTGAATTTGTGTAGGAAATAAAGTCCACGGAAAACACCACGCAATTCAGGAAACCACGCAGGCGCCACCCAGGCGAAGGCTTCCAAGACTTCGTCGCTTCGCGTCGCTTTAATGTTAATCTCGGCCTCACCCCGTCGAACACAACACAGCCACCCAATATAGCTCGAGACACGAGAACACGGGGGTCGAATTAGAGTGGAAACGTCAAGAAAAGATGCACCAGGAGACAAAGGAGGGGAGGAGGCCATGAAGGGCCCACACCAGGCACTTACGTGAGAGATCTCCTGTTGGCTCGTCTTGTAATTCTTCTTGGTCAAATTGTCCACCAGGTAGCCGATCTGCGATAGGGCCAATGAGAGCGAGTCAAGATTCATTGCTGTTTGGAACGGTCGGAAGAGAAACGCGGGAAATTTTCATTATTCCCCCTTGTCTCAGTCTCCCCGCCGTGGAACATGGCCGCGTTACACCGCCATCTTGGGGAGGAGGAGGAGGGGGGAGGAGGACGCGGCGCCTCGGAGCCGCCCCCTTTAAATAGCGATACCAATAACACGGATCGATCACACACGTCTCTCAGTTATTGCTAATTTGTTACAGATTGTCCGTTATTCGGCTTCGATACGACGGTAAAACACGACGACGACGACGATGAAGTTGATTTGAATGATAGTGGAATGTTCCACTTCTGTGAGCATGCGGGGGGGGGGGGGGGCTCCACGCGATGGTTTCGCCGACCAACCCGCCCCCCAACCCGCCCGCGGTAACGCGGGAGTTGGGCTCGTCCACGACGCCGTCGCGGTGCCACACCAGAGGGGGCATTACCTCTCAATCTAGAGTTTTCTTTTTGCCTTTGTGGCAAATTGTGGTGAATAAACACCGCAGATGTATTTTATATTTAGTTGTGTACAAGTAGCGGTTTTAATTCGCCCATTTTAGAAGTACGTTTGTACATACAAGGGGGTTATGCTATTAATTCCAGTTAAAATATAGAGCAAATGTCACACGTGGTCACACACAAGCGTGGTTGACGTTAAACAACGTACAGTACAGACAGGTTAAATATAGCGTGGGTTCATTTACTTCTACAAAGCCTGTTTTACAGTGCAATCTAAGTTCAAATCGTACATGAGGGAATGGTTTTGGTCTAGATTTTGATATTTTATTTTCCTCCCCAAAAAGACGAGTTTGTATGCGAATACAATACAGTGGTTAATATAATACAACACAGTGGTTAATGCAATATAATACAGTGGTTAATAGAATACAGTGGTTAATAAAATACAATACAGTGGTTAATACAATACAATACAGTGGTTAATAAAATACAATACAGTGGTTAATAAAATACATTACAGTGGTTAATACAATACAGTGGTTAATAAAATACAATACAGTGGTTAATAAAATACATTACAGTGGTTAATACAATACAGTGGTTAATATAATACAATACAGTGGTTAATACAATACAGTGGTTAATATACAATACAGTGGTTAATAGAATAGAATACAGTGGTTAATAAAATACAATACAGTGGTTAATAGAATAGAATACAGTGGTTAATATAATACAATACAGTGGTTAATAAAATACAATACAGTGGTTAATACAATACAGTGGTTAATATAATACAATACAGTGGTTAATAAAATACAATACAGTGGTTAATACAATACAGTGGTTAATATAATACAATACAGCGGTTAATACAATACAGTGGTTAATATAATACAATACAGTGGTTAATAGAATAGAATACAGTGGTTAATAAAATACAATACAGTGGTTAATAGAATAGAATACAGTGGTTAATTAATACATGGCAGTGGTTAATAAAATACAATACAGTGGTTAATACAATACAGTGGTTAATACAATACAATACAGTGGTTAATACAATACAATACAGTGGTTAATAAAATACAATACAGTGGTTAATACAATACAATACAGTGGTTAATAAAATACAATACAGTGGTTAATAAAATACATTACAGTGGTTAATACAATACAATACAGTGGTTAATATAATACAATACAGTGGTTAATACAATACAGTGGTTAATATAATACAATACAGTGGTTAACACAATACAGTGGTTAATATAATACAATACAGTGGTTAATAAAATACAATAGTGGTTAATACAATACAGTGGTTAATACAATAAAGTGGATAAAAGAATACAACAGAGTGGTTAATACAATACAGCGGTTAATACAATACAGCGGTTAATACAATACAGCGGTTAATACAATACAGTGGTTAATACAATACGATACAGTGGTTAATACAATACAGTGGTAAATACAATACGATACAGTGGTTAATACATTACGATACAGTGGTTAATAGAATACAATACAGTGGTTAATAGAATACAACACAGTGGTTAATAGAATACATTTAGCAGGAAAGGCCCACTGAGCTGTACAGATCTTTTTCAGAGCGACCTGGCCACAGATTATAACTAAAAAAGTGGCTTCTCATGTGGAAATGTATCGCAGCCAAATAGTCTCAAGGCATGTTTCTAATGTGGAGGTCAAAACCCCGAGGACCCAGAGAAAAATCCACGCAACCACGTGGAGAACACACAAACCGACGACCCTCTCCTGTATACGAGGAGAGGTCGTTAACATCTCCTAGCCACCGAAACACCGGAGAATAACCCCAACTTGAATCAATAGTTATACTAAAATAACCCCAACTTGTATCAATAGTTATACTAATATCAAATAACCCCAACTTGTATCAATAGTTATACTAATATCACAATAACCCCAACTTGTATCAATAGTTATACTAATATCAAATAATCCCAACTTGTGTCAATAGTTATACTAAAATAACCCCAACTTGTATCAATAGTTATACTAATATCAAATAACCCCAACATGTATCAATAGTTATACTAAAATAACCCCAACTTGTATCAATAGTTATACTAATATCAAAATAACCCCAACTTGTATCAATAGTTATACTAATATTACAATAACCCCAACTTGTATCAATAGTTATACTAATATCAAATAATCCCAACTTGTGTCAATAGTTATACTAAAATAACCCCAACTTGTATCAATAGTTATACTAATATCAAATAACCCCAACTTGTATCAATAGTTATACTAAAATAACCCCAACTTTTATCAATAGTTATACTAATATCAAAATAACCCCAACTTGTATCAATAGTTATACTAATATCAAAATAACCCCAACTTGTATCAATAGTTATACTAAAATAACCCCAACTTGTATCAATAGTTATACTAAAATAACCCCAACTTGTATCAATAGTTATACTAATATCAAAATAACCCCAACTCGTATCAATAGTTATACTAATATCACAATAACCCCAACTTGTATCAATAGTTATACTAATATCACAATAACCCCAACTTGTATCAATAGTTATACTAATATCACAATAACCCCAACTTGTATCAATAGTTATACTAATATCACAATAACCCCAACTTATATCAATAGTTACACTATTCCTGTCTCACCCGCACACATACGTCTATTAAAGGCGCCTCTCAATGTTTGCTTGACTATACAATCAATACCTGTTCTTGGTCCTTTCGGTAAAGTCACGTAGAAGGGAAATAATACAATAATATAAAACAATAAAAATTCTCACGACGTATCGACTGCAACACAAGCAATCATCATCATCAGGTGTGAAATCCACAGCAAGATTGCTTGTGTTGCAGTCGAAACGTCGTGAGAATTTGTATTGTTTACTATTTGTATTGTTATTGTTATATATATTTTTTTATTTTATTGTTTTATATTTCTATTATGTTATTGATTAATATTTTTTATAATTTTATTGTTTTATATTTTTATTATTTCCCTTCTACGTGACTTTACCGAAAGAACCAAGAATATTAATCCCTGCAGTCACGAAAGCTTTAAATCGAAATGTATACAACACCTGTTGAGGGTAAGCTGGCGCATTCCTTGTGATCTCGTGAACACAAATTGACACTTAACGAGGTGGTGTTTGTGACGATTGTGTCGTGAATCCCCCCACCACGGAGTGACGAGCGGCAGGTGGCGAGATTGCGGGACGTGGCCACGCGGTAATTGAGAGTGAATGTCGAGTTCGTCAGCAGATGCGTCGCGGTGTGCGGACGATGGATTGTGACTGACGACGTTAATGTGATTGGTGAAAATGAATGAATGTATATCAGTGTCATTTATAGCGAAGTAATTAATGTTGGTGTTGTCAATGTGTTCGTTTACGAACCTGGCGACCCGAGTTCGATTCCACCAGTGACGATTAATTATCTGAACTGGTCCCGGGTCTACCCTAGGTCGACTCAGCCTCAAATGAGAACCCGGTGCGGTGTAAACATCGCCGCTGGAGAGACAAAGACGGCCGGGCGTGGAGCTTAGCCACTCACCCCTCGTGCGCCACAGTGCCGACCTTCAGAGGTGTCTGTGTTGTTGGGTGTGAATGAGAGCCGAGGCGATGAGTGGATGGTGATGATGGTGGTGGTGATGATGGTGGTGGTGGTGATGATGGTGGTGGTGCTGTTTAGGTGGAACAAGTTTGAGTGTGAATGGGAAACAACGTGTGCAGAGATGAGAGAGACGCGTGCCGATGTCGAGTTTATTAGTGGGGGCAAACCCAGCGTGATTAATTGTAGCTGGAGAAGAAGGACATTCAGGGAAGGATTGAGCGGGCAGAGGAGGAGGAGGTGGTGGGGAGAGAGAGACTTTCAGAGAGACTTGTAGTAAGTTGTGCCGGCGTTGGTTGTTGGCACGTGGTTGGAGGCGATGGCCCAACGCCGCTGTGGTGGTGAGGCCCTGAGGATGATGGGCGAGCAGCAGAAATAGAAGCCGCGGAATTGTCGCCCTTGGTGGTGTTGTAAGACGCAGCGAATGTAGTGAGTTGGTCTTCACAGTAATCACAGGGACGTGGGCAGGGGGCTGCCGAGATGATGCGGAAAGAAATGGGAGAACGGATGAAGTTTGATTTAGGTTTTATTAAGAGTACTGTATTGACAAGTTAACACTTGAATATTCACTTTTAATATTTAGACGACGTTTGGTTTACACGACAGTTGTGTTGCCGACTTGTTTGATGTGATTGTACACATCTGTATAGAAACAACAGTTTTGTTACATACTGAAATAGTTGTGTTTTTGCAGCATAGTATTGTAACAGTCCTCGCAATATCGGAATTCCCAACCACCTACAGAGATGGCCGCGACCTTATGCTACAAAATGCTAATCTGGGTAAACTAAAACAAGACAGTCATGGAAACGACTGATGGGTCCATTTATGTCCTGTAACCCCCACGACTCACACGGCAGGATACATCGACAGCGTGCCCCGAAACGTCTAATGCAAGATGATCCACCACAACGCTACCATAAAAAAAACAAATGCCATTAGCAACTGGCTGAACATGACAGCACATGTGCCAGGCTAGGTGCACTTTGAAGGCACATGAAGTGTCTCATGATTGCTGGCAGGAGATCAACGTGTTGTGGGTTAACTACAAATATAAAGCTACGTCAGATTAAGGGAATAACTCAGGACCGGTTCTGGTGATCACCACGGCTACTAACAGAACTCTGCACAGCAGGCCCCAAGCCACGTGTGCTAACCACTGTGCTACTACTGTATCTGTCAAAAAAACACATAAAATGTAATAAACAGACAGAAGAGTATGGTACAAGTAATTTGCGTGCATGTATATGCAATGGCTCTGCTTATCAATGTGGATTGCATTGCGGTATTGCATGTGGAACAGTGGCACAGTGGTGGCCACAGTGCAGTGGAAAGTGCGACTTTCAGCCAGAAGTGTGAGTTTAAATCCTGCTTCGGCATCGACGCAGCTGCCTTCGGCGGCGATGTGCAGTTTCATGTCACAGAGCCCACCCGCCAACTCCAAGTCAGACTGGAATAAAACACATTGTCCTGTTGCGGAGGGAGCTGGTAGGAACGTTGGGTTGCTCGGTCAATGGCCTGCAGGGTCAACGGCGGCGTGGTGTATTCCGCAAATATGCCCGACTGTGAGGGCGGGCACAAGCCGGCGTGAGTAGGTTAAACGTTGAGTTTTATAAGGGCACCACGGGGTGACCAGCCCCTCACCACCCAGCCCCACCCCTCCCACCCCCCACCCAGCCCCTCCGTCCCCACCCAGCCCCACCCCTCCCACCCCCCACCCAGCCCCTCCCCCCACCCAGCCCCTCCCCACCCAGCCCCTCCCCACCCAGCCCCTCCCCTACCCTCCCCTCGAACCCACCCAGCATGTCGGACTGCACATGAAATTTGCTATATTCACATTTATCGCGAATGTTACTTTGTAATCTACTTTGTTTCGCCATATAATCATGTTATTGTGTTCGTTGCCAAGTTGTGAAGCAAAATATATATTGCTGCCCTGTGTTTATTAACAAATCGCACTGCATGAATCATCCATGTGGTGTCGCTGCAGGCTCAAATGTACAAGAGGCTCATGTACAAGAGGCTCAAATGTCCACACAGGCTCAAATATACAAGAGGCTCAAATGTACAAGAGGCTCAAATGTACAAGAGGCTCAAATGTACAAGAGGCTCAAATGTACAAGAGGCTCAAATGTACAAGAGGCTCAAATGTACAAGAGGCTCAAATGTACAAGAGGCTCGCTGTTTGGGTGCCCAGAGGGGTGATGGGATGTGGAGTCAACTTCTTCAGAGAGTAACTTGAGCCATGCAGACTGTATCATTTGATGGGATGTTGCCATCAGACTCCGAATCGTGAGAATGCGAGTTCATAACCCTACCCAGTGTCGACTCAGCCACATCATCTCCACCATCGTCATGCAGTAGTCATCCCTTGTTTGTACGTTTGTATGCATATACAGTATGTTGAACTTCGTTTGCACCGTACGTAGCCAACAGTGCTAATTAGAGGTGCGGGGGAAGGACAACAAACGAAAACCTTATAACCAGAGGTTCTATGGCTTTAATCACCAAATTACCTTCCAGTTTTAATTACCTACCAAAGGTATTTCCTCAACCATCGTCCCTTTCTAGATTTGAAGCTTTCGTGACTGCAAGGATTCATACTCTTAGGTTTTTTCGGTAAAGTCACGTAGGTGAAACATATAAATAAAAAATAATAGAAATAAAATAATAAATCACGACGTTTCGTAGGCAACACAAGTCTCCGTCATCAGGTGGGATCGTCCCTTTGGTCGTTACATATAACACCGCTCGGCGAGCAGCAGCATTTGTTGAGAAGTCTGGGCCCCCGTCACATGAACGCGGAATTAGCACCGCTGGTTTAAAACCAACAATCAACATGAGCACCACGGAGAGCGCAATCGTCGTTCTCATCACCCACGAGCTGGGGGTGAAGGTCTCCCAAAGCCGTCGCCTTCTCCTGCGGTCTCAAGCACAAATATAAAAAACCGAAGAGTAAGAGCACAAATCTATTGCAGATGCGGGTGCACTTTGATACACAGGCATCGCCCATTGTGTGCTGACGTTAGGGTCCAAATTTTAGATAAAAAACGTTATCTCCAAATTACTCAATTGGAAGTATACACAATTGCATCACCTCTTGCAAAAACTTGGCAGGACCTTCCTAAAGAAGAAGACTCAGGATGCTCAGCGAGGCTTTCCTGGTGAGACGAGAATGAAGTAATAAAATAAAATTAATGTTGAAGTCGCTACCAGCGTATTCCACGGCGTAGCACAATGCAATATTCACCTGAGACTGGACACCACCCAGAGGCGGACTTTGTCGCCTGCCAAATCTGGAACTGCCACTTGTTTGCACGACATGTGCTTTCGTTGACGCCGGTACCGCCAGGGCGTCGTGGATCGCGTGAGAATGCGGTCGTGGCGAGGAAGCTTGGGGTTCGTTGCGCCACTCACTCGCACGCGAGATTTCGCAACTTGAAGTGGCACGTATGGAGGTGTGTGGAGAATAGGTGTGTGCTGAACTTATTACGGCGCGTCCCTAACGAACCGTGCTCAGAGCAAGTTTGGGTATGGATACGCATTTCTGTGGAAATGTCAAAACTGTACTTACACCTCTACCTAACTTTGCAGTTATTTGCACATGTACCTGCTTATTGTGTTTAGATTGTTGACCTTCCCCCTCACATCCGATTATCACGGTTGACTACGTGCGGTGCAAAAGAAGTTCAACATACAAATCTGTACCTAACTTTTTCTGGCGCGTCTTGCTTTCATTACATTTGCACGGTTTTATTTGTGTCGTGTGGTAAACAACTCCAGCTCGTCTCTGTCATCTCTGTGGCACGATATGGACGCACAAGCAAGCTGCTCTTAAAGTGTGGCACCCGGACCACCAGCAAGGTGCCACGGTCCTCCAGGTGGTCCGCGGGTTACTTCAGACGCAGGTTGACCCGGAAATAATGACAATGTTTATACCTTTTGTTTCGGACATTAATTAACATTTTACTCATATTTAATTGATAAATTAAGTTCGTGAAACTACCCTGATTAAAGTACCCTAAGATCTAAATGCCCCCCCCCCCCCTCTAAAACCCCTCATCGCTTCGGAATAAAAATAAGTGTTATGTTCTGGTAATACAAATCATTTCGTGCGAGTGGCATTTAGAGAGAAGGGAACACGTTTTGTCACCAGGGCTGCGGGGCTGGGTGGTCCACAGGAATGTTTGCATCAGCTGAATGAGCCGCGGGCCGAAATAGTTTGGGAAGGACTGCCATAAGTTAAACTTACCACGATATAACGATTTACTTGTGTAAGAAATAATCCGATAATTGGTTTTTTACCCTTTTATCTGGCAACAAAACTGACACCTTTTTTTTTACAAGGAGTCATGTTTGCATTGACCACAATACCTGCAGTCGGAATGAGACTAGGCTCTAAGGAAAGCTGTCTCGGGTGTGGACCAATCAATTTCAAGGACAATGCATACATTATCAGAGTTATGTTTTTTGTAGGGGTGGGGCTGGGTGGTTTAGGGGCTGGTCACCCCGTGGTGCCCTTATAAAACTCAACGTTTAACCTACTCACGCCGGCTTGTGCCCGCCCTCAGTTGGGCATATTTGCGGAATACACCACGCCGCCGTTGAGCCTGGCCATTGACCGAGCAACCCAACGTTCCTACCAGCTCCCTCCGCAGGAATGTGTTTATTGATTCGATTACTTTCCTTGTACTTTGTACTCGTGTTTTTGTATTGTTCGTTGGTGTAACATTCTGACCCACCCCTACTGGACATCTGAAAAAGAGCTTTATAGTTCATAGGATTCCTCCAGTACAAATATTCCGATTCTGATTTGGTACACGCTTTCATTCATACTTCTGTAACTGCAAGGGCATCTTGCAGGGACACGAGGGACCCGAGGTGTGCACGTTAATGCGAGACTGCGAAAGGTGTTTGTTCCATGCAAACATCGGAAAGAAATGTTCCCCACCCCTGTGTGTCGAGTTTAAAAGAAAGACAGTACACAGACTACCCGAGTCTGTCACATAATCAAACACAAAGCCTACACGTGTACCATGGCACGGTAATGGAAATTACCATAGCGTGATAATTGCGTTTTAATGGCCAATTTCTAACTGCAACTTTAAGGGATACTTTAAATATTTTGGAACAAACAACCCCAACTTAAATCAAGCTAAACGCAATACGGAAGTAAACATCTTGAAAGTGAATATACAGCACAGTAACTCACCGTAAATTAAAACCATGAAGGTTAAAACTGACATCTGCGTTGTCGGCTCCTAACGTCCCAAAAATTCGCCAAAGGCCTTCCGCCATTTTCTTGCTCTACCTCGTTCTCGTCCATCGGTGGCCTCCAAATCCTTTGACTTCACCTCGCCATCACTTCAGTTCTTGCACCGCTTCCCTTAGTACCAACTGGTGCAGTGGATTCTGTTGCTCTCAATTGTGTTGGTTAATGAATTATTTTGAGCATCTTATAGTTAAAATTGTGAAGACTCTGGTCACATGTTTCAGGTATTCATGTTGCAAGATTTATTTCGAATGAGCACGGATGTAGTTAAGACTAGTGAACACATCCAGTTCACAAACCCTTTCATATATCAGTCACAATTTTATAATCGGATACATATAAACTATTTTAGCCAGTTTTTATTCTATAAATACCCATATGCACGATATTAATGTGTAATTTCAACATGAGGTTTTAGTATGATCAATCAACATCTATTAAATATGCCACAGAATACATTTCCAATGTCTTACATGCTGAATATACTGTGATAATGGCCATTCTGGTTTAAAGACATAAACATTAACTAATTGTGCGAGCGCAAACATGACATCTTCATCGACGTCCCACTGCCTGATCACCTCTGCATGGTCAGTAAAACGATTTCCACCTCTGTATCGAATAATTTGGTGGTGGAAGGTCCTATGTAATCAATTATGCCTTGTCATTGGAACATGTAATTTTAAAGAACACACCTTTTAAAGGATAACAGATCACACAAATTGATACCTTTAAGATCGAGTGTATGTTTTATGTAAAAACTGGCCAGATTCTCAAGTTATATTCAAAATGTTAAACATCTTTCAATAAATCAATCGTAAAAAATGAACATGTTGTGCATGTGAAATGCCAGCAACCAGATTGATCATTTCAAGCAGCGGTTGCTTATTCAGCAGAGGCATCGTTGGCCTTGGTCTGGTTGTTGGGGGGCAGAGGCTTGCCGGCATGTTGGCCCACGGTGAGACCCTGGGGTTTGGTGGAGAGATTCTTCACGGTGTCATCATTGAGCACGAAACCTTTTTTGGGGTCAAAAATCTCAAGAGGTGCAAAGTTAAGCGTCTTCTCCTGCCACACGGATGCCAGTCGCTGCTCCCACGTGGCGACCAGGCCCTTGCGACCCTCCTCTGGCATGAACGAAGGGCTCCACGAGATCTGTGGGGCCAGCACTTGGAAGCCACAGAAGTGCAGCATCCCTTGCTGCAAAACAAAGCGGTACAGAGGAATATATTAGGGATCGTACAGACCTGTCTCATATCCGAGTGTCCGTCTTAGACTAGACTCAGAGGTGCCATGGCTAGATTAACGCAGGGGCTTAAAAGCTCCCCCACCCAACATTAACTACTGTTTTATATTCTTGGGTCTTTCGACGTAGATAGGTTCAAAGAAAATTATCAAAAATAACAGAAAACTACGACGTTTCGATCGCAAGGCAAGCAATCGAAACGTCGTAGTTTTGTTATTTTAATTTTCTTTGAACCTATCTACGTGACTTTACCGAAAGACCCAAGAATATTAATTTCTGTAGTCACGAAAGCTTTAAGTCAAGATTTACTGTTTTATAACCGATGAAACACAATAATGTAAATATTTGATACATCTGGTAAGTAATTTGGTCATTAAAGCCATATTACCCAGATTTGAATATTTTATTCAATTTCATAATGTACATATAATTGAAAAAACAGTTCAAACAAAGATAAATAAGATTGGAGTATTTAGTATCAGGTGTGGATGATGGTGAAACGGTAAAGGGAATTAACGGAATATGAAAAGGGGCCTCCTCAAAACAATAATGGCCCTGGGTCCCCACCAAACCTAATGTCTACAGTGGCTATGCATGCCCTTGTGCTACGTCTCGTTCTCATAATTTAAAGTGTCATTACAAACGTCTTTCAATACATCTATTGATAGTATCATGCTGATGAAACCAATGATTTGAATTGATTGATCATAACATAATATTGTTTCATATTTTAATTGTCAGCCATCCATATGTGTATCTCTAGCAAACAATCACAATCAACCATTCATTCCATTTACAATTGTCACATTTGCAGGTATTTATCTTACTTGCATGGGCCACAGGATGACATTGATGTCACCATTGACACCTGTAGGTCCATACATTGACTCCATCCCGCCCGTGGTGATGGAGATCAGAGCCTTCTTTTTCTGCAACGTCGAAAAAAGCCAACACGAGGGAGACATGGAAAGAAGATCCCATCACGCACGCTAATATCATCAAGATCAGTGGTTATTAACCTGGGGTGCATGCACTCCCTGGGGGTGTGAGATGCCCTTTCTGAGAACCAAATGGGTGCAGGCTGCAGTAAAGTTAAGAACCACTGATCTAGATCATCAATCAGGATAATAAGAACAATGTGTGCACACGTACGGTGAAAGGGCCGCTCTCATAAAACTGTGGGAACCCATAAGCGAAGCCGCGGGTGAGGACCCGATCCATCCAGCCCTTCATGATGGCAGGCATGCTGAACCAGTACAAGGGAAACTGCACACCACAGGGTAGACACACACGCAGGTATCAATACAATACTGGGTTAAACTATTCGCAATTCATCTTTGTTTCTTATGCCCATGATGCACATGTAGCGACTAAATCGGAGACAGTAAAACTTGGAGGCGCTTATTTTATTGAACGAACACCATCGGGATAATACACACTCTACGTGGGTACACACTATTACCGTTGCTAGCCTATACACAACACTAATCGACTAACACTAACGGCGCTGAACGGAGACTGCCAACAACTATCAGCGCAATGTCGAGTGAAGACGGCAGCGACGACGAGATGGTAACGACGACGATCTTGAACAGCACGACGGGGATCCCACTTCCAGCAACAGCCACGAGGTCCCTCAGAGGGGCCCTTCTTGTACTGTCAGCGTGGCCTCGCTCCGCCCAGGACACGCCCCCTTCTCTCTAGAACCTACTAGCGGGCTCCTGAGGCTTCCCGATGGGCACCCTCTGTGACCTTTCCCCCCTCGATATCCCCCCTCTCGTGTCTATCGTGGCCTGCTGACATGGGTACTCCCTTCCAGCGCAGTTACCCTTTTCCGCCAACAGCCAGCGCTATGCCACTGCACACATATGGAATTGTGTGTCTAAGACTCGTTTACGACTTACTCGTGCACTTAATTATTTTTGATGCCACTATAGATTCCTATGTCTGTAGATTGTACTTACACCGTAGAGTTAACAAACTTGTGGCAAATTGTGAAGGACTTACTCTGTTGCATCCTTAATTATACACACATCAGAAACTCAGAAATACTCTTATCCCTGGAAATGGGACATTTCTCAATAATTTGGCACGAGATAAAACTCATTCTTGAAGCCACTTGGAACAAGTGAATTTGTTAATTATTTCATAGGCGAATTACTGTTGTGATGAACACTTACACACACAGGAAAGTAAACGACTGCATGGGTGTGCTCTGTCATCTTCTTTTGTTCTATTCCATTGGAGTATTTACTGCATTTTAAATACCACACAGATTGAATAAAATGTGTGCGCAGGCAAAATGCCACTAATTATCATGAATATGAGGCAGTACATTTCTGCATAGCACCATGTGTTTCCATGCATTTGTGTATATGGGAGTCAATGTGTCTGTGAATGCTTGTATATATCTGTGGGAAATGGTAATGTAGCGGTTGGTGTGCTGGCGATACGAACTCAGTGACCCGAGTTCGATTCCAGCTCATGGCCAACACCAATGACGAATATCTGAACCACACCACTCCCTCGTGTGCCGTGCCTGCCTTAATAGGTGCTTGCGAACAGCACTCGCCCTAAAAGTCTATGTAGGTTGCATGGGTAAATTTGTTTTGTTGCGTACTGGATATGGGTGTTCATGTGTGTATAGGTGCATCTGTGTGGATATCAGGACAAGAGGCAGGCTTATTATCAATAAGAGACTACAAGGCTTGGACATCGACTAAGTGTGGACACCACATAGGAGGTTAGCATGAAACTTATGCAACAAAACTGACACACTGAAGATGCAAAATAGGAAGACCCAAGACAAGATGGGAAAAGACGGTAGACAAAGATTTGGAACAATAGGAACTGCCAATAATAAGAGGAGATGCGGTGAAAGATCAACATCCTGCAGGGGGCTGTGTCAAAATGCATAATGCGAGCAGCTTATGATGTGCATATAAGTGTTCATGTATGCATGTTGAACCTCTTTTGCACCGCATGTAGCCAACCGTGCTAGTCGGAGTGTTGAGTGTCAATGCAAGTCGGTGTATATGGGCTTCTATGCATCTGTATTGGAAATTGGACCTCAATAGTTGCTCACAAACTGAACAAGTTAAATTGTCTGTAATTTAGAGACTTTCAAAGTGCGCCGAAAATGCCACAATCATTATGGTGATTTCAACACGGATTTAGGTGGCATTTGTGTAACCTCAAGCGGTGCTCAGATACTAGAATAGCAGTGGCAGGAGAGGAAGGTTTTGTTTTGCGTCAAGCGCGATTGGCCAGTTTAGGACGAAGATGATCGGAGAACACCAACTTCCATGCGTGCCCTGGGCACCACCAATATGAGCAAGCACCTGGAAAATGACGAGGTCCGCATCCTGCACCTTCTTCTGCTCGTTCACGATGTCTTGGCTGAGTTTTCCCTTCTCCCAGGCTGCTGCAGTCTCTTCTCCGTATCGAAAACTCTCGGTGCTCTTCAGATCCCCTGCCGCATTCATGGAGACAGCAACCACTCAGAATCCGTGCTTCATTTCAGCCAGTAACAGGCCTGGAAATGCTGTTCCGAGAATTATTTTGGCATGCCAGATCCATCGTCTTGTTTTTTCCTCGCGACACTACAGCGTGTGTGCGGTGATGTGAAAAAAAGTGTTTTGAATAGTGCTCATAATATACAATTAACATGCAAAGGTGTATCTAGTACTCGAGTGGTATTGCCTTGCGCTGATGATCCCTACTCAAAGCCAGCCTAGCAGCGGTCCATCAAACTTAAGTGAAATATTAAATTTTGCTCAGGACGCATCCCCCCCTGCTAAGGCTGCCACCTCGGGAGGTACAAAAAACCCAGGATATATCATGAGCATAATAATATCATCACAATACCAGAAGAGGGGAGAAAGGCATGTAGAAGAGGGACTTGAGTAACTTTTAATTTCCCGGGAGAGGCTTACAGATTCCACAGGACAGCAATCTGAGTAGAAGAGGTCAGACTGGGGAAAAAGCCGTACTGGCGGTAACTCTACCATCTGCCTGCATCCTACGTGGAGATTCATGCGTAAAGACGCAGGGCAATCTGTCAATGCAGCAAGCTTGTCTTATTATCCAACTGTCGCATGGTATGGAAAAAGAGTCGAAATGAATGAATAATTGATATCCAAAGGGTTTATTTACGTTCAAAGAATGCATCAGTAAAACCATTATACACCCAACTAACCCTAATCCTCAGTGAAATGACACTCCACAATTCACAGAGGGCATCTCCGTAGCATGAGACAGCACTTTTGCTGCCAAGTTTAACAGCACCTGTTGCTGCCAGGTGATTTGGAAACTTGGCATGCGTACTCACGCCACTCATGGGACTGTAACCACTCATGAGACTGTGTAATCCCGTCACGAGTTTCCAATTAGCCGATACTACCCATTCCCTTGGCATCAGTACAGTATTTTGCAACCCGTGGACAACGTAGATACCCATAAGAGGAAACTAAAAACATTCGGGCTGATAAGAAAAAACCTGATCACACCCGAATGCATAAGTTTGCATCGGCAAATGCTTTGTAGAATAAAAAAATCAGCCCATATAATGGCAACACCCACACTTGATAATTGGTTCTTTACCCTTCTATCTGGCAACAAAACTGACACCTTTTTGCAAGGAGTCATGTTTGCATAGACCGCAATACCTGCAGTCATCTGGTCCAACCCATATGAGACTAGGCTCGAAGGAAAGCTGTCTCGGGTGTGGACCAATCAACTTCAAGGACAGTGCACATTATCAGAGTTATGTTCTTTTGTTTGTATTATGACTGCAGGTATTGCGGTCTATGCAAACATGACTCCTTGCAAAAAGGTGTCAGTTTTGTTGCCAGATAGAAGGGTAAAGAACCAATTATCATATTTTTACTGGCAAATGAGGTCCCAACACCCACACTTGTTCGCACTTGTATAGGAGAGCGTTTCAATAAGTAAAAACAACTTTAGAATTCCGTAATCTAAGCGAGTTTAATTTCAATTAAATGTGTTCTATGAAGAACAGACCACATTTACAACCATGTTTTATGCTGCACTGGCCACATGTCCGTGGATCACTCAAGTTGGGAGATTGGGGTGAAATTGGTGTGATGTGAGGTTGTGGCGGCACAGAACCCCTGGTGTGTAGAATGAGTTGCCAAGTTGAGTCTACGTTCAATTCTTATGCTAATTAGGGGGAGTCTGCGGAATGTGTGAGATACATTTGGAATGTGCGCGCATCTTATACGCAGGGCATAACCTCAGCCGGGTTACGTCCGTGTTGGTGACCCAGCAAATATTCTCGCAACCAGCACACCACATCCAGTATACTACTAGTTATGGCTGTGGATACTAGTCAGGTGCCTAGTCTCCAGGCTACTTAACGACCTGGGAAACAATCGGGGAGAAATGAAGCCCCTCTCACACCAGTTGCACGAGACATGATGGGTGTGCATGCTACACCGCTGTTCTGTTCGGGACCGCGAGTCAGCAAACCTCAAAAGTGGCAAGGGTCACACGCACCTAGGATGTCGGCCCGTGTTGCCACCGGGTTGAAGGTCGAGGCGTACAGGTCGGACACCTCCACCTGGCAACCCTGCTTGCTCAAGGCCTGCACGGCAGCCTCCTTGAGGGCCCCGTTGAAGGAGCGCAGGGGCTCCTGGTGAGCGAACACGATCAGCGCACGTTTTCCGGCACCTGGGCACCAAGGAGAGCACGCACGTATGGCATGCATTTCATCAATTGACATGAACAGCAGGTAAAAAAGGTTATGTTTAGATGTAACTTTACCTTCACAGATGAAAGTCTAGCCCTAAAATATTCTCCTCACACCGCTGATGGTGAAAGGGCCTCCAGTAGTGGGAAGTCGAGTCTCGCCACGGGGTATTTTTGCTCATTCCCATACTGGCCAGACGTCTTAGAAGAGGTGGGAGTAGGCACCACCCATACTTTACCCCACCACACGCGACCTGCTAATCAACGAACTGCGGCGTGCCGATTTATACTGCTGGTTGGTGAGAGGTGGGGGATTCGGGAAGCTTCCACATTGTTTTAAAAATGTTCTGATGTAGATTCAGGAAGGTTTGCTCAAGTGTATGGCTGTGGAATTTGGTGAGAAACGTTTATTGGGCTCATTCATTCTAAATTATGAATTGGTGTAGAAAGAATCAATGAACCATTGCATACACCTCGACACCACAGAGAAACGGTGACATCTCGTGTTTACACACTTGTATCGTTGTGATTAAAAGCTATACAGTATATCTTATTTTACATGTCCTCTCAAGCCCCTTTAAAACGCAACATGTAGAAATAATATTTTTTTGTCAACTGAAAAAAAGTGATGTCTTCAAAAGTTTAAGATTGTTAATACCGCAAGCTATATGAATTAAGGAAACGCTGAAAAGATAAAAAAACACTGGGTCTCCAGGTAAGATTGGCCTGCTGACTGAGCTAACAGCAACACCGAATTTCTTTGCCAAGGGCGGGAGATTGTGTGTAGTGTTGGGCACACCTTCAGTGCAATCGCACAGCTGTGGGCGATGTCCAAAGTTGGTTGACGACTCTCCATCATTGCAATGGTAGGATGTTGCATGGGAATTGCATCATTCTAACAACGGCCTTGTCCAATTATGCTCTATTGCACACACCCCGACATTTGTTCAATATCCATTGTTTGGCGATATGCAGACGAAAGTGTGGCAATCCAAAAAAAACCTCTAATGGATATTGATCGCGAAAGCCTACGTATTCAAGTGTGGCAATCGTTGGAAAAATGTTAATTCTTGATAGAAAGTCTATTGCCAACTCCCCAGGTTAGGTCACGACCTCTCAAAACAAACCGGCGATGCAAAATAAAATGGGATTTCGCGCATGATTTTTAGCTTCTTGCATATTGATTTTTTAATTGTAAGTAGAACGATGGACAAAAACTTTCATTAAATCAATGCTGTAGTCAGCCAAACCGAACAAAAAAACCGGTTTTAACTCATATTTTCCCAATTAAAGTATTTGTTGCTCTGCAGTGAAAACTTCTCCTAGAAAGATGCAGTTATCAGTTAACTGGTTCAATAAATTGAGATTGCACTTCGCAACTGGGGTGTCAAAAGTAAATATTGTATCATTACAACCCCTTTCAGATTGGACCATAACCCCTTCGCACCTGAAGAGGGATTGGTATGACTCCGACTGTAATGGTTGTGATGATAAGGATGAAGAGAATGAAAAATCCTTCACGCGAAACGTTCCCAAGTTTGTTGGCCGTTCTAAAGACGCGTACATTTATCCATTGCATACAGTATTGTATAATTGCACGCAAGAATGAAAACAATTGAGGAATGTGAGCAAGAGTTCGCGTGTTACTCTCCTTCCTTGTATGCTCAAGGTCTGCTACCGGTCATGCAGCCCTGAGGTTTTTTTAAAATACTTCATCGTGAAACTGCGTTGGCTGCAGAGCACAAATCAAAGCACAACAAAATTCGCCAGCTGCAAAAACAGGAATAAAATATAAACAATAGGTGTATTGGGCAATGGCACTTCATGTGCTATGAAGGGCCATTGCTCGAAACGTCACCTATTGACGAATGAGAGTTTTTGTTGGGAGATGTGGCGACTTTGATCACGATGGTGCCGAGATGAGCATGTGCGTCGAGGCGAGCGAACAACTCTGTCCAGGAGCAATCGCGACGTTGAGGTGGGAACGAGAGGCAGACGACGCAACACCTCCACCCATCCCTCCCTCCTCCCGCTTCGCCCACACGGCTCGAGGAAAGCCTCCGCACTGCGCGCAAAGTCTTGGAGTAGGCGAGCGCCGCCGACGATGCGCTCGCTCACTGGGAGGCATTCGACTTTGGTGGCGAGCGGAGCGGAGACGGCAGAGAGAGGGCAGAGAGAGAGCAGCTCAGGGCGCAATGAGGGTTTGGTGAAGGCGGGGGCCGCGTTCACGCCACGTTTCGCTGCCACACGACGGCGTTCATTCGTACACGGCCCTCTCTCTCTGCTGCTGCTGCCTACATGCCGCAGAGCCACTCCGCACTGTACACACACTCACGTAGCTGCTGAACATGCCTATTTTAAAAGATGAGCACGGGCCTCCAAACTTGTAAATGAGGGCAAACAAGGACAGTGGTCATACACTCACAGACTACGACTGTACCGACTGCTGTGGCGTGCACGCATGAGCAGTGCAGCACGCACAGCGCGTACTCACCGCTCATCTTGTTGCTGGCTCCTTCCACAGAGGTGACACGAACAGGCAGGCAGGGCAGGCAGGGCAGGCAGGCAGGGGGGGCTGCACAACGCGTCTCGGGCGGCGGCTGAAGTGCAGTGCGCGCTTGGCGGCAGGAGGCGCCGCTTACAGCAGAGGCGAGCGCAGGGGGAGAGCCGCTTGGATCTGCCCTGCCTGGGGGCGGGGCGAACACCCCCCGCGTGACCTCGGCTGACCTCAGGGGCGGGTGCTGTTAGCGAGCACCTTGAGTGGCACCTGCGACGAAGGCCGACACGGCAAACGAGTTGGGTTGGAGGCCAGCACCACGCCCGGCCGGTGTTTGATTCCCGAGTGGGGGTTTTTTGTTTACACGTCGCACTCGGTACTCGTTTGAGGCTGAGTCGACCGAGGGGGGAGGCCCAGGGCCGGTTCAGATCGTGTTGTCGTGCCCACGAATTAATTCCCTCCCATCCCCACTTCACACTCTCCCTGCTCTCAAAGCGTGGCCAATTCTCCAGATTATGTTGATTATTGTTGTATGTGCTATGAAGGGCCGTTGCCCGAAACGTCGCCTGTTATATTTGGTTTCTCATTTTAATACCTGAAAGTGCTTTTAACAAATGTTTATGTTATCTGTGTTTGTGCAACACTGCCATAAAATACCTATCACCAAATAGCATTTTACAACACTGAAATAATGTTGGTGGTGGTGGTGGCGAAGAGGAAGACGATGACTCCAGTCGGAGGGAAGCTTGGATTCGAGACTGCTGCGCTGCACGCAGCACCGCGGTGGCCAGGAGATGTTGACTACCTCGCCAGGTGTACAGGGGTCGTGGGTTCGGTCCAGACCCTGACGCCTGCTGCTGCTGTATCTTTGGAGTTTGCGTGTCTCTCTCACCATCATCACGGTGGCTAGGAAATGTTGACTACCTCGCCAGGTGTACAGGGGTCGTGGGTTCGGTCCAGACCCTGACGCCTGCTGCTGCTGTATCTTTGGAGTTTGCGTGTCTCTCTCACCATCATCACGGTGGCTAGGAAATGTTGACTACCTCGCCAGGTGTACAGGGGTCGTGGGTTCGATCCAGACCCTGACGCCTGCTGCTGCTGTATCTTTGGAGTTTACGGTCTCTCTGTCTTCCCGTGGTCACGTGGAATTTTCTCTCCACATTTAGAAACACGCTTTAAGAGTATTTGGCTGTGATACATTTCCACGTGATAAGTAATTTCATTGGGCTATAATTTATGGCAAGGTCGTTTCTGAAAAAGAGCGATATAGCTCAGTGGGCCTTTCCCGGTAAAATTAAAATATAGTTTAGTTTAGATCGCAGTGGCATCCTTCCCTGCCTGGCTTCTACCCCTGGCCGACCCCCTTTGTCCTTCCAAAGCAGTGTTCTTCACTCGTGTTCAGTGTTCTTCACTCATGTTCAGTGTTCTTCACTCGTGTTCAGAGGTGGGGGGGGGGGCACGTTCGCCAATAAGACATCATCAGTGTGAGGGCCGCCACACATTTAAAATCGTCGGGTTTGACAGCATGATGGGGTGTTTTCACATGTGTGTATTGTCAGGGGCCGCACTAAAGGCAGTGGCCCACGGGCTGTTCTTCAACAACAAGAACAGCGTTCTTCAATGCAATGCCTCGTCACTTTTCCGCCCTCCCCCAGCATTCCGTCGCCTCCCCCAACTACGACGAGGCCTATCGCAACCCCTCCTCAACGCTCCCTGCTGTGTCACTAAAACTACACCACCACTTTCAATAAGCCAAGCTCATCGTATGTGCAATTGTATAAGTGCTGTAAAGCGCCTTGAAATCTAGATAAGACAAGATGCTGCTTTGTCGATTGACTTCAGAGATCGGCAAACGTGCGGGGTACGCTATCATATCGGACGATATTCGACAAAAGTGTTGCCGGATGGCTGGCTGGAGGGAGCAACGAGGGACACAGTCACGGCGAAATAATGTTTTGTTCTAACAAACAAGGCGATGTCAGTGAAATCCTGATATGTAGAACATATACGAGTCATGCATTCCACTGTTTGCGTGCGAAGAGCAAAAGTACGAGATTCAAACAGCCCGTTAACTGGCGACCATCGTCACCCACAAACCAGGTGCCTCTCGCATCGACCCTGACAACAAAGATCCATAACAAATCTGACAGTCCAAGAATTGTGAAACATCTCTTTTTTAAGCAACCTATGTTAATCAGGGCTTAAGTTCTCACGTAATATGTTCCAGGTCGTGATACTAATTTACAACTGTTACTATTTATAAGTTTACGTGAAATTGTCTGCGCTGTCAGTGGGATTCAAGTTGCACAAACCCACCACCCATCACGTTATGTTCGAATGTTGACTTTAGCACTGTACGTAGCCAACCGTGCTAATCAAAGGTAAGTTAGAATGGTGGGTTTAATATTTTTGTTTATATAATTTGACTCCAGCATGTAACTATGAAACACCAGTAATTAATATTTTCTTACAAATTCTGTACGTGTATGTAATATTCTATAATTATATAATTACAACTCATTACGTGCAAAGTATTTGCTCACTCTCGTATAGAATGTTGTGAGGAGACAAGCAGACTAGAGACACATGCCGTGACACGAGTGCGCTGTGACACCCTGCAGGACACCTGGACGGAGAGCGAGGCCGCGTGGCGATGTCTTGTCGCCCTCTCGTGGTCTTTGTCAGTATTTTGACTCCGGACGGGTTCGGCGAATTGCGCATTTGTAGACAAGTTTGTATTACTGTATACTATATACCTCAAAAACAAGATGTCACTTCATTTTCTAATTACCAATACTATAAAATAAAATATTACATCAAGCGTTGCAATACATGCAAGGAAATACTTGGTGTAGATGTACAAATTGCCAAGTAGATCTTAATTTTGGAGCTTGAGTCTGCAGAGAGGATTCCACGATACCTTGTTGGGGCCAAGTTTTCCCAGCAGAAAAGCCACGTGGTTCTTAGAAAATGGTACTAATTGTACCGACCCCCACCGATTGCGACCATTGTGCACTTGATTCGAGGGCATTGGTTCACGTCTGATAACGTGGCGTTTGTGCGTATTAGGGGTATCTAGCCTGGCACAAGTGCCGTGGTGAAGTCGGTCACCTGGTGGCAGCAAATGGCGACGCGTTTTTGTATTGGGTTGACCAATAGGTGCTCGCGAGCAAACATGCCTCACGGCCTGTGCAAGCTGAAGGGTGGGCTGTGGGCATCCCTGCTTGTGACAAGTTGCACTTTGGAGAACTAAATAAGGCAAGTGCTGTTAGCAAGCACCTATGAAGGCCATAACGCATAACGGTACACATGGCGGTGGGTGGCCAGCACACGGACGCCTTTGTCTCCCCAGTGGCGATGTTTACACACTGCATCAGGTACCCATTTGAGGCTGAGTCGATCTAGGGGATGCCCAGGACTGGTTCAAATAATCGTAACTGGTGTTGGCAGTGAAAGGAATCGAACTCATGTCAGCGGGTTCGCAGTGCAACGCACTAACCGCGACACTACCGCTCATCATACACTCCTCAACAGACGAAGCCTGGTCACAATGGATTTTTAAGCAACATGTGCTGTACTTTAGCAATTATTTGTGGATAAACTTGCCGATGAACAACCACAGAGGTACGTTCAAGGTGTTTCAGCTGATTAGTCAAAACATTACTGTGGTAATGTCTTTTGGCAATTTGCAAACTGCATCGTTGAGCACAACTTGTTAATTTGTAGAGAAAACATTTGCAATTTCATCCAATGCCTGATCACTGTAAGATCTCCAAATTATTTTAACCGTGCAAAGCTTTTCAAATTGTGACATTTTTGTAATTATTTTTTCTCCATCTCAGAATTCACGAATGCAAATTCATGATTTGAACGGTGGCTGGCAACGTGGTTGGATTACAAGTGGATGACTTATTTCGTTGGGGTCTACAAAAGCCCCTGAAGCCAGATGTTTTGAGTAGGCGATCGGGACCTGGCTGACCAAGTGGACACCGTGACGCGTTGACTCGGCCTGAGGGCCACCAAGCATGGACTCGAGCAATGGTGATGTTGATGCTCCTCAAGTCTCCCTCTGTAACCTCTCCCACCCAGACCCCAAAGAACTGGTCTGCATCTATAAATATCTTTTTTATGTATTCCCTAAACTACTTTTTTTTATTTGGACTCAACCTAATAATTGGCTTCATAGATATTTATATTTTCTGTAGCCTGGGCTGTCCATTGTATTATAAGCTTTTTCAATTTGATTACTAAAGTATTGTTACGGCACCCAAATAAAGCATGTTTGCATTAACATTCATGCAACGTATGGGAGTAACATTACAAGTGCTATAATTACATGGGTAATATTGACGTATTTAACAAGGCTTTATACCCGTGTGGAAAAGCTCATGGTTTATGGCTTACGAGTGTGGATACAATACTTCAGTTGTGTTTGTTTATTATTAGTTTTGAAGATAAATCACTGCGTGTCTACACGTCTTGAGAGTCTGATCCACTTACAGGACGTAAATCTTTGTTCTTAAACATGTGGTGCAGGGTTTTAACGAAAGGGCCGAAAGCTGCATCAAGTATGCTAGCTGGGTTGGAATCCATTAGGGATTTAGGAAAGTAATAACATTTAAGTATTCAATACAAGACTGGAACTCTTATAACTTAAGAAATATTACAACGATTTGTAACAATATTGAAAATCTCACAATTTTTATCAAGCAATAACTGATTGTATTGGTTTGCCAGTTCAACATCGTTATATGAATCTGATTGGTTAAAATTGGTTTCCTCCAGATATAGAGCGATCGATGTTAATTATCCTAATTTGTCTGATCCTATGTTTGGCAATTTTGAAATATAACATGCATCTCACCAGCCTGTGATTACTTCCTTTGAATTTAGGACAGACATCTCTGATGAATCTGGACTCATGAGAATCGAGTCCCATTTAAAATTAATTTCTCCATTTTCTCCATCTCTTTTGCTTCGGTTTACTTACGAATTTCTTGACCTCCTTTTTCCGGTGCTCGCATAAAAGTCATTACAGTAGTGTGTTCTTGTTCTCCATCGTCATTGCCTTTTGTTTGAGCATATACTACATAGAATTATCAGTAACTTGTAGTCGTTCAAAGGCCATGATTTTATTTGAGCAATTCTATACGATGTTGCCTGGAGTGTCAAAACTCTGATCCTGAAACACTTTCGAATCTTGCCCCATAAATATCATCGACTCTCCTGCTGCAA